ACCACGTCTCGGTTCCGTAGGTCATCACTGGCAACACGCACTGGTTGGTGGTTGTACAATCTAGTTTTCAGGTATACCTGACGAGAAGATGTGTCGTAATTTCCCAAACGCTGCCCAGCCGAGTTGAATCCGTCGATTGATCTCTCGGTCGACGTTGGACTTACCTAGTCGGACTATGTGTCCCAGGTAAACGTACTCGTCAACAACTTCGAGCTTAGTGCTCCCAACAACTACCGGCATAGGTGTGACATGGACATTATCTTTGTTTTGTCCATGTTCACCTTAAGACCTATCCGTTGGGAGGCACTATTGGGGTCATTGAGCATAGTGCTCAAGTCCTGCAGCGATTCTGCCATAATGACTGTATCGTCAGCAAATCGAAGGTGAGTGATGTACTCGCCATTGATGTTAATACCGTATCCTTTCCAGTCTAGTAGCTTGAAAACGTCTTCCAATGCAGCGGTGAAGAGTTTCGGGGAAATAATGTCACCCTGTCTTACACCTCTCCGCAGTTGGATAGGTTTCGTACTCTGGTTCTGTACTCGGACAGCCATCGTAGCCCTACTGTACAAACAATTCAGCACTTCGATATACCGACAGTCAACTTGGCACCGCTGAAGAGAATGTAGCACCGCCTGAATTTCGACGGAATCAAAGGCTTTCTCATAGTCCACGTACGCCAGGCATAGTGGCCGATTGTACTCTTCGCTCTTCTGTACAATCTGCCGCAGGATATGTATGTGGTTTATGGTACTAAAGCCTTTTCGGTAACCGGCTTGTTCGGGAGGCTGGAAGTCGTAGAGTCTGCGTGCGAGACGATTCGTAATGGCTCTCGAAACAGCACGTAGACGCGGCTCAGAAGGGATATCGGTCTGTAGTTCTTCAAGAAGGCGTTGTCACCTTTCTTGAAGAAGAAGACCACCGCACTTCTGCTTTACGCCTCCGGAGTAGTGCCACCATGGAGGACGGAATTAAAGAGCCTCTGAAGGACTTCCAAGTACCGGCTTTCCACCCGCTTTCAGAAGCTCCGCTGTAATTCCATCCTCGCCCGGGGACTTGCCTTTTTTAAGGTGCTGGAGAGCCATTCTAATCTCGCTCAGACTGATGTCCGGGATAACATCGGAATAGTGTCGGATAAGACTTGCTCTTGGATCGTTACTCACACTTGCGTGTGGCTCCAACAATGATGTGTACAGCTGCCCATAGAACCTTTTAATCTCACTCAGAATCTCAGGTGTCCCAGAAACGATGGTGCCAAACTCAGTCTTCAGCTTTGACAGTTGGCTCTTACTGGCAGACAGATCTCTGGCAAAGACTTTGGAGCCCTGGTTACGTTCAATCGCTTCTTCAATACGAGCAGTATTAAATTTGCGTAAGTCTCGCCGCATGCATTTGGAGATCTGTCTGTTCAGTTGCCTGTATGCTCTCAAATCTGTTGACGATTGCAGCCTAACAGCCCCAAAAGCCAAAAGATCTCCCGTCTAACAGCCATGAGATTAAGAGTGTGATCGGAGAGTTTTTGTCTTGCAGAACTTGGCTCCGACCGCATGGACAGTTTCCACGAGCTTTTCATTCATATCGTCCACAGCATTGCAATCTTATAGGCACTGAAAGCGGTTACGTAACTCGAGCTGAAAGGTTTCGGGATTCTGGATTAGAACACGAGGGGGACGGAGCGTTGACTTCATTAGACGAGACGTCTCCAACTTAACGTTTAGGTTCAGTGTGCCTCTAACCATTCGGTGATCGCTGCCAGTTTTCACCCTTGCGATCACTGAGACATCACTAAACAGTTGGCGTGGTCGTCATAATGAAGTCAATTGTCGTCGAACCGTCGGGGCTCGACCAGGTCCACCTGTGGGGCCGCTTCTGGAAGAAAGAATTCATCATAAAGAGTCCCTCTTTCTCCATAAAATCGGCCAGCTGCTGGCCCCTACGGATCCGTTGCCCTACTCTAAATTTCCCTAATTTCAGCTCACCGCTCTCTCTTGTGCCTAGTTTTGCGTTGAAGTCTCCCATCAACACCGTGTAGTGGGTTTTGGAGGAATGCATGGCTCTAGAAATATCCTCATACATTTTCTCCACCTCCTCATCGGGATGTGCCGATGTTGGTGCGTAAACCTGTATGACCTTCAGCGATTACCGTTTGGTGATTCTGAGTATCAGGTACGCGACCCTCGTCGACACACTCCGAATCTTTACAACGTTGTTGACGAGAGACTTGTGGACGATAAATCCGACACCTCCTTGGGACAGATGGTCGCCCTCCCGGTGATAGAACAAGTTGCCGGACTCGAAGATTACCGTGTCCACCCCCTCTCTTCGGACCTCGGATAATCCAATAATATGCCAGCGCAACTTGTCAATCTCTTCTTCCAGCTCCAGTATCTTCTCGTCAGTTCTCAGGGTGCGTGCGTTATATGTTGCCAGGTCGAGTCGTCGTAGGTGGTAACCGAACCTCCACCGGAGATTCTTAGCACCCACCGTCGTTACCATGGTCGCCACCGTAGCCAGGAATAGCGGGGCCGCCGGGGACTGGGGGCCGTTTGTTTGCGTCGTTATTCATGGGGGGATATTTGCCGTAGTTGCCACGCTTGGCGAGCGGGTTGGCAACCGCAGTTTTTTATTATATTATTGCTGTTATCAGGAAGATGCTGCTGCCCATCTCCTGCCTACCTCCTTGTGTCGCCTCTTACGACATCCACGGGAAGATATGGGGTAGTGGATATTCTCAACCGCCACTACACGGCAGAATACCAGCGTCAAATAGTAGCTTAATGCTGCTGTGTTTCGTATGGTAAGTGTAGAGAACCGAAGACTCTTTTCACTGGAAACGAGGCATTCCATCTTAGTCCTCACGGGTGACAACGTATCTGCATTTTGATTTGTAATGGAGGATAAATGTAGATGTCTATGGGCCACAGCAACCACTTACCATCAGGTGGACTGTGTGCTCGTTTGTCACCCTATCCTATAAAAAAAGCTGTGGTATTATGTGCTCACGTGACGAAGGATTTTTAAAAACTTCTCTTTAATAGAATAGATAATATTTCGGGCGAATCAAACTACACTAATGAGGTAAACATTATTTATTACCATCAAAATTCAAAATACGTACCTTAATACTATTCATATATTTAGTTAGCAAATCTGGCTTGTCCGCTGTAATTTTGTATCTAAATGTAGAGAAAAAATCTATTAAATACGCTACATCTTATAAAACTTACTCAAGAAATCAGTACGAAAATTATGTGATTGGAAGTTAGCTATTCGAAGTTTGGTATACTTACGAAGCTTGAAAAAAAACTATGGAATAAATATTTAGATTTTAATCAATTTTCGCGTTCTAATAAGAACCGAACTAGGTATATCACTTATATAATTAGTAACTAACTACAAAGAAAAAATATATGTAGAAAGCAGATACAAAATTAAACATAGTTCTTTAATTAAATATAACTGTTACTAACTATAGGAAGCCGGTTTGAACTACGGATACATTGAAAAAGCTTAATTTTTATTTTTATTTTTCCCGCCATTTTAATATTCCCTACGCTTCACTCATATCTAACATTAAAACTGACTAGACGTAAAAAAATTAGGACATACACTCATTTATGTCATTTTTTTACTTCTGAAGCGACGTGACCATTTTTATCTCTAGTAGGTATGAATAATTATGAAAAATATACAAAGTATGTGTAATGGTAACCCTAGAAGCTAAATGCATACGCGAATGAAGTATTTACAATGAAATCTAAACTCATACCATTTAATTTTAGCAAGAAAACTTATGTTTCTTGTCTGTAAATTGAATGGTAAATGGAAATGGTATTAAACACTTAATTTTCAATTGATGTTGTTACTCAAGTACAGTTACTTTTATTTCAGCTGCAAGTTTTCACGTAATGTTTATATATATAAATTAAACCTAAATTGTTTTACAATCATATACATAATGAAACAAAACTATTATGTCAGTTACAAGGTACGCAACTTACGAACTAAAATTGCAGTCGATATTGAATAAGTATATTAATGATTTTAGTTTGATAAATGCAACAAATATACACAAATAAATATATTTTTTATAGTTTAATCATAAGAAAGTTTGTGATCTAATAAATATATGAAGTCGTTGAAAATAATCTAGACTATCTTTTCTAATCAACACATATAATCGTTTAAAAACATTTTGACAAAAATGCTGTAAGAAATGGGTATCCGAGAGGTGTTCATTACATTTATTTAGACATCACAGTCTTGAAATATATAATTTACATGTAATTGACGCGTTAACTTCAAACGTTTGAAGGGTTTTTAATAATTTAATCACATCGCACAAATAATAAATCAAAGTAAATAAAGTAAAAAGAAATCTTTGCAAAGACAATTTGATAATACAGTCACAATACATCAAGTTTTAAATCATATTCAAAACATATTCCGTCTTATTACAAAATATAGTTTATTGATAATCTCGGGTTTAAACTAAGATTTAAGAATAGTCCTTCCAACTAAAGAAGTCCCTTAGCCGTCGTGCCACAGTCGTCGCTAAATTTGTCATTTGCCGTCAAACTCCATGTATCATTACATTTTAGTTCGCGTATTTCTTTGGGACTTTTTTTCGTGAAAAAGATTATGTTTAAACCTGAGACTAAATATGAACCTTTAAATGAATACGTATTGGTACTAGAAGATACCCTAAGTTGTTTGCAACACAAGTTATTGTCCGAGGGCTCAAACTTACTTAGTGTGTGCCACCTTTCATACGCCCCCCCACCGCCGCACAGATTCTGTTCGCGGTGTTTGTTCTAGTACGCAGTACATATTAGGTCAATTATACAAACTACTTTGTAACAAGACCGTAAGTCATTTTCGTGTATAATCAATACATTTAATCGAAGATATATCTTTTATTATATTTTAACAAAAAAATAATTATAAAACGTATAAAATGATGTATCGACGGGACGGCCAATTCATGTTAATCTTCTAATTTATGAAGTCAATTGACCACTAACTTGTTTTTTCGTAAACGCTCTAGCTGCTGGCTTCTTGTTCGAGCTCGCTGGTACCTGTGTACCGATTTTTGCGGGAGTGGATTTAGGTCTTAGACTTGGTATCTGGGATACCCTCATACCGATAGCAGTTTTCTGTTTGGGAGCTGACATCTGACTTTGATTGGGCCGGCCCTCAAAGGTCGAACTCCTTATGAGTTTCGGCGGTTCAGTCTTAGCGCTATCTATCAATACCTTCTTTTCAGTTTTCGTTGTTTTTTTGGTGTCAGTCCTCCGCCAGAGGTTCGCTATTTTGCTTTCCACCTCTTTTGTGTTGGATTTGGGAGATGAGATAGAGTTCACACTAGAAGTGCTGCCCTGTCTGGACCCCCTAGCTAGGACGATAGTTTTCCCGCTATCGTTGCTTTGTAAACTGTGGTTCGATGGGGAATTCCTCATGGCGGGTTCAGCAGCTTTTTTGAAGTAAATCTTCGTCTGTTTGCTTGTGCTGGTGTTAGTTTTAGATAATGGCGGTCGCGCATAGCGTGAGAACTGCGGCAGCCTAGACGGCGACGTGTTTGGTTTGGTTGGCGAAGTAGCCTTTACTGACCGCGGTACTGTTGCTTTTATATCCGGTTCTGGTAAGTCTTTCGGCGGCACTGTGCTGTCTTCTTTAGTGAACGTGCCCTGCCTTGTCAACGGCAACGGTTTGCTCGCAACTGGTGGTATTGACACGGTTTTCTGTTGTGCAGACTTCGTTGGTGATTTGTTGGGTAATTTTTTGGGTGAAGTAGTAGCTGTTCTTGCGGCTGGTACTGTTTTAGTAGTTGTTGTTGTTTTGGCACTCATTTTTGTTGTATTTGTTGTAGGTTTAGTTGTTGGAATTGGTTTCCCAGGTGTTTTTGCAGACGCAAATGTTTGTTTTTTAACACTTGGTGTGGTCCTTCTGTAAGGAGAAACGTACACCGCCTTCTTTCTACCTCTAATAGCTTTAGGCGAACCTTGCTCTTTTTCACCAGATTCGTTGGAGTCCAAACTGTCGTCTCTTCTCAATTCTGGTTTTATAATTTTCGGTTTGGGCCGCGTGAGGGCGCTCTCTGTATCGGACTCAGACTGTGCTTTGTCTTCAGAGTTGCTATCGCCTTCGTAACTGGCGAAGTCACTGCTGCTTGGATTCTGACTCTTGTCGCTCTGTATGGTGCGTCTATATGAAGCGGTCATTTCGATATTCTTTAAGTTGTTCACGACGCACATGTCCACGGCTGCTGGACTTTCAATCACCGGCAAGTAATTTCTGAAGCTTTTTGTGTAGGTTTGCATTTGCGTAGAATTCAATTCGAAATCGTCTTCATTGTGACCGCTGTCCACGTCTCTGGAGAATACGTCGTCGTGCCTATCGTCTAGAATCTGCTGGTGATTGAGTTCGCTTGACGATAAACTGTCGTAACCGGTTGTGGTTTCGACGTTTTCGAAATTCGCATCCTTTGTTACGAAAGTCGGAGACGGTGGTATATCCTCGCTTAGCGTCCTCGTTCTGAACCGCTCCGCGTCTTCCATACGTTTCTGTTTGATCGTCTTTTTAGCTGCTAGTCTTTGCTTCAAGTTTTCTATTTTAGGATCAGGTACAGTCTGAGCGGAGTCCTGAGTTGGAATGTTGTGAATGTCGACGGTTTGTGTTTGATACCTAGCTCTGTCCTCTAATCTTCTTTGTTTAGCACTAAGCCGTCTCTTGGATTTGGGTTCGGAGTTTGCAGTAACGTATTCGTCCGATCGATCGCTCTCAGATTTGGTCCAGGTGACGAAATCTTCTGTTTCAGCCGTTTCTAAAACAATGTCGCTTTCCGAAACGGTGTCCGTGATTGTATAAGTTTGATACCGGTTGTTAGATGCTTTTCTCTTCTCTTTAGGCGTCAAGTACTTAGGATCGCGTTGTCTCTTAGGCGTGGACTCTACACTGCTTATATCCGATGGCAGTGGTGTACAGTTTTCCGATCCAGAAGGAATATCCGTAACCACGTTCAAAGTATTGGAAGTACAATCGTCGTAAACTTGTTGGGCAGTAGTTGGTTCTAATTCTATCGTCGACTCAGCCATTTCATCAAACAATGACGGAGGGTTGACTTTGTCCAAGTCATGGAAGACGTTGGTGAAGGTGGTACACAGCGGGAAGTCCTGTATTGGTTGTTTAAAGTCGAACACTACTGGTGTCTTCTCTTTAATGTCGGCTACTTCAGAAACGATGCTGGACACAGATACCATGCTGCTCTCCATATCGATGTGCTCCATCTCAGAAGGTGGTTTTACGTTTTCGAGTAAGCTAACTGGGATACTGTCTAAATGCTCAGAACTTCCTTGGTGCATTGAATTACTCAGAGCTCTTTTCATCATTAAAGCAACGGGCAAGGACTTCTTTCGACTTTTGGTCTTCTTAGACGATTGCGACGTTTCGTCCCATTGGACCGAAGCACTTAAGGAGAGGAGGCTTCCTAAATTTGAGGGTGGTTTCACATTATCTAAGTCTAAAGATGTGAGCGATGTAACGCTAGTTTCCATTGTGTAATGGGAATTCTTCAACTGCGCCGCCAATCTAGCGGCTTCTTTCTCTATAGCGGACGACATTATGGAATCGAATTTGTGGTCGCCATCATCCAAGATGAAACTAGGTTCGACGTTCTCAATTAATATCCCGTTCTCGTTAATATGTGATATTTCACCATCTAGCTTGTTCGTTAAATCGGGCCGCGTGAACAAATTGCCGGCTTCGCTCTTCTCTAATAGATCAGGCAACGCCATATTGGTTTCTACGATTTCACTTCTGATGGACGACACCATGTGTACCGAACCGCTGATTGTTGGGAAGGTGACGTCATCAGGACACGTGTTGTCGTTCCACGTGTCTGTTCTTTTAGAATGTTCCTCCTGTACTCTTTCCGTATATTTGATGTCGGTCCACTCAAGTTTGTTCTTCCTAGTCAAAGTGGCCGCTTCGTAGTTTTTGTGCGAGCCGTCGTCGCTCCAGGAACCGTCTAGAACTTCTGCGTAGGACTCATTGGATCTGTTCAGTTCGTCTTTGATCTCCGAGTCGATTGTTGTGTTGGCGGATTTCGGGGCCAAGCATTCATTGGAACGCTCCATTTCTATCGCGTCGGATTCGAAGGTGGTGTTGCCAGAATCAACGGTGGGCATTTCATTAGATTTGTCGAATACTGTATCTGGCTCGACGGACTCTTGCGTCGTTTCGTGGTCGGTGTTGTCGAAGGCGGAGTCATGATGCTCCGATAGGGCTTCTTGAGACGGTTTTTCGGAACAGGGTTGCTCCAAATCCGTATTTTTCGAGCAAGGTTGTTCAATATTGGCAGTTTCTGAGCAAAGTTGCTTCAAATCGTGTTCGTTGGAGCAATGTTGCTCAACGTCAGAGCCAGTTAGCGCGATGTCGGCGCGCTCGTCTGCGGACGCGCGGGCCACAGACGGCGCTGGGACGTTTTTTGGCTGAGTTCTGTTTTCTCCCGCGCCTTTAGCTATAACCTCCTCCAAAATCGCCCGGTCCTTCGAATACTCCTCACCAACCATCTTATCCAGAGCACCTTGAGGCGCTTTTGTCTCTCTTCGGCGTCTCCTGTGCGACTCCCTAGTTTCTAGACGATCATCGCTCCTGACTCTCAGCTTTCCGTCGTCACGTTTCTTCGGCTGCGCCTTCGACATTCCCATTCTAACGCATCTCTCGAATACTTCCTTGTCGGTTGAACCGAACGATTCGTTGCTGAGCGAACTTAATGAATTGCTCCTTTCTAAGTGCCTTCTGGGATCTTCCATTCTAGCAGGTAAGCTTGGAGGACCATCGTCGTAAAATCGCGACGAATGTCCCCTATATCGCGAATGGTGTGCTAACGAATGTCCAGTTTCTCCATGGTAAGAATAGGGAGACCTGGTCAGGTTCAAAGCTGCGAAGTCCTGTTCTAGTTTCTTTACTTTATGAGAAAGTTTGATGTTGTAAGCTCCTGACGCCAGATTTTTCTCAAACTCGGGGTCTTTGATTTTGGAGCGATGCTGTGTGATTTTGTCGCTTCTGTCGAGGGATTTGTGGTGCCTGCCGTGCCTCATGGACTCTGATGGCCTCTCTACAGAATGGGCTTTACCTTTATTACTCTCAAGCGTGAATTTAGCGCGTGGATTGACGCTGGATAGACCGGCTTTCACAGTTTCTTCAAAAATTTCTCTGTCGGTAGAGCCGAAGGAGTCTAAGCTGAGTGAACTTAATGAGTCGTTCCTTGCCAAGTTGGTTGTGATCGGCAATTTCGGTTTCTCCGTTGTTGCACAGCTTTTCACTTGCGGGCGACTTTGGTGTACACGTCCTAAAACAAAAAGTACCTAATTAATATAATTATTAATCGTATCGTAAGAAGAATCTGGGAAATGCCAGCAAGATCTGATAGCTGTTTATAGACGGTGATCTTGTCATTCATCATCAGTATTACTACAGCTGGTCGCTGGAACACTGAACATAGACTTCCCCAAGGAATGCCACAAAACACGATCCTTGACACTGGTATCCATTAATTTCTATGCATCTAATATTGGGTTGTCACTACAGATCTTGTAAACACGTGGTGACAAGTGCCCAGTACTAATGGTAGGAGGATGCTGTGGTCCATAGACACATCTATACTTGATCAATAACCAAAATGTTCTACCATTCTTCTTCTATTTCACGTTGGTACTCTGTGCGAGCGTGATTCTTCCCCGATGGAGTCGAGTCGTTCTAATATTTTAATACGCTCTAGTACCTCTACTAAGGGTTGAAAGTTTTTCTATTGTATTTGTCATTTCACCTGCCAAGCATGGCAATGATGGTAGAACTTCCCAATGAGGGCTAATAATTTTACACTCACCAGATGCCACTACTTGGCACTGAGGTGAAGTTATTCGTTACATTGTATGTGTCATCATCATTGTAAAGTTGTGTTCAAGTTAAAGTTTTTTTGGTTTCTAGTGTATGTATAAATACACAAAAATACCTCAGTGCAGTATTCTTTACATTTTTACACATTTTAAATTTTTCTACTTTTAGGAATATCCGTTATTTGATTTACCCATTTCTAATCTAATTAATATAAAATATGACTAATATCTGAGAAAGAAACATTATTATCTACATGTCTATAAACTTTCCTCGCAATGAAATTTGTCAAATGTTTCACCTCGTTCCTAAGTGGCGCCGTCCTGGTGGCAGAAAATGCTGTGAATGCGCTCATTATGGAGGAAGTCCATATCCAGCAATGCGTTTTTAAGGGCCGATGAAGATTTTTTTTATTTTTCCTCATCAAGGCAGCAACCACAAATACATGAACAAATAAATGAAAGAAAGAAAGAAAGAAAGATGCTTTCTATTTGTTATAATCCCGCTATAATTATTTAGTGTTTGTTTGAATTATTAACAATAATTTAGTGTTTGATAGGGGATAATCACATTTCATTGCGAGCTGATTAGCAACAGAAGATATTTAATTAAAAAAGTGCTTCTCACGTTTTTTTATAGAATTAGTGTGACACATAGTCCACCTGATGGTTAGTGGATGTTGTGACCCATAAACATTTACATTAATTCTAAATTAAGTCCTCGTCAGGTATACCTCAAAACCTGAAAACTAGATTGTACAACCAGTGCGTGTTGCTAGTGATGTCTTATGGATCTAAGACGTGGTCCTTCACTGCTGGCCGCACGAGGACGCTCAAGTTCACTCAGCGAGCTATGGAGAGGGCTATGCTCGGGGTTTCCCTGCATGATAAACTTAGAAATGAGGATATCCGCAGTAGAACCAGAGTTACCGACATAGCCCAACGGATTAGTGAAGAAGCTGAAGTGGCAACGGGCCGGCTATATAGCTCAAAGAACCTCAAACAATGGGCAGCCTCGTCGCCTCGTAACGGTAGGCGTAATGTAGGACAACCCCACTATTTGATGTGACGACTTGGTAAGACATGCAGGAAGTCGATGGATGCAGGTGGCTCAGGACCGTGCTTTGTGGCATTCCTGGGGGAGGCCCATGTTCAGTAGTGGACTTGTGGAGGGCTGTAATGACGATGATGATGATGATTAAAACGTGTCTGTGTATGTCTATGTATAACTAAATGAGAGGTTACCGCGTGCGGCGCGCGGCGGGCCCGGCTTCGGCGGCAACGGTGGCGCGCTTCCGCTTCGACTTCTGCTTCCGCTGCGGCTTCGGCTTCCGCTTCGGCTTCTGCTTCGGCTGCAGACAAAAATTTTGGAACTGAAAAATCATTATGATATATCGGTATGATCGTATCGATGAAACGAAAAAGTGACACTAAAAAACTATTTTAAATTAAACTAAACTGAATTACTAAAAAAGAACGTACAGGCCTAAATTAAGGTATACTGAATCTAATGAGACCAAAATTGTCTAATTTCGTAAAGGTTTAGGAGGGTGAAACAATATTTTAAAAACAAAATGTAGGCAATTACTTCGCAATTCTCTACATTCGCAATTCTCTTTATCACACGACGGCGATACGGAGCGAGCAATGGGAAACAGATAGCATTTTTGAAAATACCTACTAGTACCGCGTATCGGCCGGCACTTCACAATCATCTTAAACCGCCACTACACGGGAATTTATTATGAAATCTGTTATAGCTCGATTATAGCACCATCTACCTAATTTATACATTTTGTACCGGCCAACTTTTGTGAGTTTCTTTTTTGGCAGTAAGCCACTAAGTATATGGCAACACAAAGCGATGGAATATGAAAAATTCTTTAAGTGTGATACATCTGTCAGTAGCCACTGGTCATCAGAGGCACGGTTAGCAAACTTCTTTAACACTCTTTTACTATAAAAAATTCAAATATGGAACAATAATAGATTGTTACAACAAGCAGTAAAATTAAAAACTTTGTACAACCGACTTCAATATATATAAAATGAGAACATCATCAATGTAGTCGAAGTCAATTAAATACGCATTATTAAGGATAACTCAAAAAGTACTGGTCATATCTTGATCAAATTTATATGGGACCACAGGAAAAGCACCAGCTTTCAATTAAAATAATGAATGAAATGAAAAGAATCATCAAAATCACATAAATACACACACATAAAGAAAAATTGAGTGGAATTGAGAACCTCCTCCTTTTTTGAAGTCGGTTGAAAAAAACAATTCATTTACAACTGTTTAAAAAGAAGATTTAAATATTTTATAACAAACATATAAAAAAGAATGCTACATATAATTTTATTACTGGTATGATTTAAATTGGCTGCAAATAATCATCGAAATAGCAGTTTTTCGTCATACTTTCGTCGAGGTAAAATCTGCCACCATTCCACGTAAATAAATCTACCAACCTGTCTCTGACGTTCCGAGCAAACTCTTGCGACATTTTGACTGTTTCGGTCGACGAGCGCAGGTACGGCGGTAGCGATCTCTGTAAATATTAATTATGTTTAATCAAAACAGAGTCAATAATGGCCAAATATACAAACGCTATTAAGTTTTAACATGCCGTTAAGTCTCGTCATGTCACAGCACAGACTTACCTCCTAATAGATTCCGCATACAGGGCCACAAACGCGCACAACACATACTTGCTGTAGCTAGCATATGAAGTGACGCTAAGAATCACGATATCATTATCGACCAAGTTTGTGACCCGTAGACATGTCCGAGTTTTTGTAAATTTATAAATAATTTTGGTATCCAAAACACATTACAAATGGCTTCCTATGCAGTGAAATGGTATGGCTAGTCAGCTAAGACATCCAGTTATCAAAAAGATGGTATAATATTTCATCGGTAAGTAAATTTTATTCTTATCACGTTAACCTATTTCAAATGCACCGGAGTTTAACTTACACTGGATATTAAATGTTGCAAAGTGATATCATTAGCGCACCCGTTGATGTCTTTTTTGATATGTCCCTATCACTCATTACGTAAATTAAAATAGCTGTTGTCTTTGTCTAACGACAGCACGTGTATCCATAGTGTTGTGATTTATAAGTCGATATTTGTTTCGTCATCGTTTACTTTTCTTTTTTAGTCATTATTTTGTACAAATAGTGGCGTATAATTATGGTACCTATATGTTATAGGTTTCCTAAATGCCCCGAAAGAAAAAGATCTGGATTGACGCTACGTGTCGAGGGGACCAATGGTTTCCCACCAAAAATAGTGTGCTATGCTCAAGACACTTCACAGAAGACAATCTTCATATTATGAAAAACCGTAGAAGGCTGTTGGATTCCGCTATACCATCTCTATACTTGCCAGTTTTAGTATGGACTTTTACATTTAAAAAAAAGTATAATACCAATGGTGAAAATTACACAATAAGTAACGTGATATTCTAATATTTAGGCGAATGTTACACGTCGAAATTAAACTATTTTTAACGGATTTATAAACCATAAAACAAGTGAAAGTTATAATGTGATAAATGTTATTCTAGTGTTACATGAACTTCAGTAATATCCTATTATTATTATTATTAAGTACATCTAAATTTGAAGCACGTACCGTGGTTTTTTAATTAATAATACTACTTTCAGGTGCAACATTAGGCAAAAATACTGTCGCCACCGAAAGGACATACCAGAACACACACAAAGGATTCACACCATTTTGTTAGTGGGATAAAAGACCTACATCTCGCTGAAAATGAAACTATAGTCAGTTTTGGTGTTCAGTCACTATTCACGTAACAAGGTAACAACATGCCTGCAGAATATGCAGTATTACTCAAACATTGCTTCACATATGACTATCTATTGTAGAAGGAAGAGTTCTACAAGCAAGTTGATGGTGTAGCGATGGGCTCACCTGTATTTCCTATAGTCGCCAACATATGTCATGGAGAATTTTGAGGAGAAACCCTTCTTACTGCTCCTATGAATCCAAGATTCTACAAGCGAAACGGAGACGACACTTTCAAACATTTACCGTCTGACAAAGCAACTGCAGTTTTAGACAACCTTAACTCCATAAGCTTCAAAATACAAATCACGATGGAGTTAGAAGCAAATAATACTTCAGCTTTCCTAGATGTTTTAGTCATCCGAAATCCTGATAACACTATTGGTCATATAGTATAGGAAAAAGGCCTATACCAACCGATATTTAAATAGTGAATCTCACCATCATTCTTCATAGTATGCTACTGTAGGTAAATATTTGTTTCAGAGAGCACAAAGAATCTGTGCTGTGACAGAATACATCTGGCTGCCGAGCTTCAGCATGTCAATCAAGTATTGCAAGACAAGCTTTGGGTCCCAGGCCTACATCACAGCGACCAAGTGAAGCCATCCACAGTCGGTGGATGGGTGCTGCCATCTGCTTGGTATCGTATAATTAACAAAATGTATCCAAAACCAAGCACACCACTGCAAGATACTGTAAGCTCGTTTTATTTAGATCGGGACCAAAAATCAATATTCAAAAAGTGAAGAAAGCCGGGCTAACTATGATATTGACATTTAAGTCCCCCCCCCCCGTGACCATAAATTAATTAAACGCGATGAAATCCATATAATTATATAGTTTTATTCAATGTGTAGTGTTCGTGTAAATTTAAGAAATCATTATATTTCATATACATGCACATACATGTTTAATAAATTTCAAATAAAAATTGATCAATTCATTTATTTATTAATAATTAATAAATCCCAAATTTATCGATCAACGTCCCAACCCTGTCCCATCACTATGCTTTGGAGCATTCTAAGTTCAACCTTGAATTATCCAATCACAGCGCATTTGACACGTCCCCCGCAACCCGAAATTTGAAGAAATCGAAACAGAACAAATATTCCATGATGCGGTATCTATTAGGAGGTAATCTGTGTGTCACAGTCACTTAGACTTTTATTATAGCATAAGGGTGACAAACGAGCACGCATTCCATCTGATGGTATGTGAATGCTGTGGCCCATAGACATCTACATCTGTACTCGATTAAGACACAAAGACCATTTTGATTATATTGTATTTGAAAGTTCTAATATACCTACGCTATTTATTCAAAAATAAGAAGGAACTCACATAAACATCGTCCCTGGCTGTGTAAGGGTTGACGGAAGAGACTTCCGAAGTCGGGCCCTTGTTCTTAACAACCTGAAACAAAAAAAAAATGTTAACATAATAAAGAAAGATGAAGAATTATTATATCAATGTTCTATAACACTTTGGGTTGGATACATGTAATAACCAGACCGGATTATGGTCGCGGCGGCCAGTCTCAACGGAGACTAGCCATCTGCACAGGACAAGTGCACTTTCTATCCCTTCACTCTCACAGTCCGATGAGTCGACCAACGACACGACCGGAGAGAGATCAAGAACAGGACCTAGGACTTTACGTGCTTTCTGAAGCACGGGGGTGTGACACTGCCAATTTCCTGATTCCCGGCTGCTACTCAGAATTAAAGACAGAAAAAAAAACAAAGACTAATTTTAACCCGATTCCGGTCAGTACCACAGTATTTTTGGTCTATAATACGAGGGCACTTGTAAATGATATAATAAAAAAAAGGTTCAAATTTTGAAAATGGAACTCTGCTAATATTATTGTGTATGTATTTTATTAATTTGACGGAGTTTTGGCGGGAACTTGGCCATCGACGGGCTGTCGCTCCTGTTTTGTCGCTTGAATAATGGTTTGAAGTGGATTTTAATTCGTAAAAGTGATATGATTTTGTGAATTAAGTGTCTGCGCGTATGAACTATTAGAGAAAACGACGAAACAAGTGCTTTGATGTTGATATAAACCTCAAGTTAATTTGTTTGCTTGGGCGCCTTATGAACTTGAGTGGCTGTCGTCATCAACAGTCCGTTGGGTTGAGCTGTCATCAAAATCTCCCAAAAACTTTGCAATGTGAAGTATCATCATATTGTGAAGAAAAAATATATATAATGAAGATTCTGAAAGAAATGATAGGCTCAGAAGAGCTAGAACCCAGATCCGTAAGGCCAATTAAATAAAAAAATATTATTAATTTGTCATTTGTTTACGATTTGGCGGCAAATTGAAAATTGTCTGTGTCACGTCAGCATGAATTTAACGCAAGAAAATTTTCGTAAAATGATTTTTTACGACTCCCGACCCCCTTATATTTTATTTTTTAATATTAATATTAAGTAAAAATAATAAAAAAATAAATATAAATAAAATAAAAAAAATTAGTAATATTATAAAAAATAATTAAAAAAAAATAAAAAAAAGAATAACATAAAATAACAACTGCCCGAAAGAAAAAAACACCCACCCCCTTCCCCCCCCCCCTTTCTCCTCAATGTCATTTAAGTCATACAAAAAAGTTTATGATAGATTTCGATTGGCCTTTCACGCCCCATCTCGTGCCACTGTTTACAACTGGTTTAATGAGTTTAATCGTGGTCGCACTAATCTCACCGATGATCTGCGTGAGGGACGGCCTTCAACGGCGACGACTGAAGATAACATCAGTGTTGTGCGGCATATGATAGACTGACAAAAGAGTTACTTATCAGCAGATTCGGACAAGCTTAGGTATCGGTATGAGTCAAGTGCACAAAATCCTCCATGAACATTTAGCGGTCAAGAAGCTTTGTGCCCGGTGGATACCTCATAATTTGAAAGAGGTCCAAAAACTACATCGTGTTGATTGGTGTCGTGAAATGGTTCAAGTTCTTGGAGAGAAATGGTCAAAAGACTCAAATGCTGTGTTTGACATACTTATGGATGACGAAAGCTGGATTTGAAAAAATTCGGGAGAAACGTCCTCGCAGTAGGATCCTCCTTCAACCACGACAACGCCTCGTCGCACACGTGGAATTACGGGATCACTCGCCCTATAGCCCTGATCTGATCCGACGGTATTAAATAAAAATCGCACCTTGCGATTTTTATTATGTAAATAATATACAATATGATCCTTTGTATAGTTGTTAATTTAAAGTCCTTAATACTTTACGGTTTTCAAAAATTACAATTTGGCTAGTTTATATGTAAAAAACCATAAAGCCATCTTTCACTGGTCTCACTGTTTGGCACTACCCTCCTTCAGGATTTAAATACGAAAAAAGGCGGATTTTACAACATTTAAAAATTATTTATTATTTTTACCGTTACCGTTACAGCATTTTAAAGTCCTGCCTTTACTGCCTCGTTGCTCTAGTGGTTGTAGTAGTGCGACTGCTGATCATGAGGTCCTGGGTACGAATTCCGGGTCGGGCATAAAAATTTATTATTGAGTTTTTCCATCAAGAAATTCTCAGTAGCTGCCCGGAGTCAGGAAGTTGGTTGTGTCTCACCCCCGTGCCTCGGAAAGCACGTAAAGCCGTTGGTCCTGTGCCTGACTTCTCTCCCGGTCGTGTCGGTTTACCGTCCCATCTGATTACGAGAGTGAGGGAATAGAGAGTGCACCTGTGCTTGCGCATACACTTGGGCACTATAGTCCAGTCCAGCGCCGATGGCTTGCCTCCGTTGAGGCTGGCCGCCGTGGCCGAAATTCAGTCTGGAGGACATTATTATTAAAGTCCGCTGCTGAACACCGGTCTCCCCCATAGAATGCCTCACACTATGGAGATATTTGTTACAGTCGCCACAACAACCGTAGTCTTATTTTTACTTTTAGTCGTTATTAGGAAGACGCTGCTACCCATCTCCTGATTTGTTTCCCTCTGTAGTCTCTTACGACACCCGTCGGATGACAATGGGTAGTGGATATTTTTTTTTAGGATAGGGTAACAAACGAGCACACAGTCCACCTGATGGTAAGTGGTTGCTGCGGCCCATAAACATCTACATCTATCCTCCATTAAAATCAAAATGCAGATGCGTTGTCACCCGTGAGGACTGAGATGGAATGCCTCGTTTCCAGTAAAAAGGGTCTCCGGTTCTCTACACTCACCATACTAAATACAGCAGCATAAAGCTACTATTTCACGCTGGTATTCTGTGAGAGCGTGGTCCTTCCCCGGTCGAGCCGACCCATTCGTGCTACAACTATACTACTAATATAACTGCAGCATAGCTCTACCACATAAAAACTTACTTGATATACTTCTACCACTACTACACGGTAATATTTTTAGGTTTATTAAAAGTCCGGGTATCCTTACAGGATGCTTTTTTTCTCTACTGATGTAGGATCTGAAAATTTGCTGCACCGGGATTGTTTTAAAATTATTTTTAATTCAAACTTGCATACGCAACAACTTCATGAAATTAGATTTACAATAGCAACTTGATAACATCGTTACTATCCGTCATTCGTCATTCACAGTCTTACAGAGAGAAGGTTTTTTTTACCTCAGACACTCAACTATAGTCAATTTTACATCACTCAACCATAGCCAATCTTAAATCACACCCTAGTTACATTCCATGCCTAGATTTATTTCTACTTTCTTTCCATCTTAGTCCTCGGGGATGACACCACATTTGCATTTTGATTCTTATTTGAAGATAAATGTGGATGTCTGTGGGCCACAGCATCCACTTACCATCAGGTGGACTGTGTGCTCGCTTGTCACCTAACGCTATGAAAAAAATAATTTTTACACACTTATGTTACTGAGATAAAGTGAAAAGTGTGAATTATACTACGGTTACGATACGACATAAAATATTATATAAATTTATAACCAGTAACATTATGGCATTATATTTTTAGTCAAAATAATCTTATAAGGTAGTTTATAAATAACAGATTACATGAACATAATGTATTATTGACGAACACATAAAACTATATACGTTTTCTGGATCTCGACAACAGTGCCACCCATAGAATACTATAATACACAATAGAATGGCTGTCAACCTTAGTTTGTACGAAGATCGGCGTCGCCGGAAGCACATATAAGCACTTACGTCGTATTATCACTACTACAAACCCGATTCGCTGTGTTGAAAGCCTGAGTAAATTTACACATTTTAGACTTTTGATTAATGTTCAGGATCACCATTAAATAATCATTTAAATTTTAATACATATTTGTAACGTCAAAACACATCTCGTGTTGAAATTTATACGTGTGAATCGACATGTTAGTGGCTACACGGGCTCCGCCCACTCCCCCGTTCTATTATGTATGTATTATAGTATTCTATGGCGCCACCTACCAGGTCCTATCGTAATAAATCTAAGCCATTCCGGGAACCACTCACAAACACACAAAAAATTTTATCAAAATCGGTCCTGCCGTTTAAGAGTTCAGTTGACACACGGAAGTAAAAATAATAATAAACATATAAAATGATATACAACATGTAACAAAAACCTTGTGGCTCCCATTAGCTGCGTTATCAGAATCTGTATTCAAACTTACAAAATACTTTTTTTTTCTGCAGAAAACTCGACCATTAAAATGCAATTTAATTAAAATAAAATTTTATTTGCAAATTATATGTGGTTTTATTACCTCTAACTGACACAAGCATAAAAGCGGGGTCTTTGACAATCCTCTCACTCCCCGGACAATGCAGAGGTTTTGTTTAATTTGTTTTGAATACTGATTCTGAAAAGGCACTTAACGGAAACCACAGGGTTTTTGTTACATGTATAATATAAAGATGATAATTAGCAAAAATATTTTAAATTCTAAATAGTCACCTTGCGTTTGGAGCGGAACAATTTGCACAGATCGAGGAACATTTCGCAAGCGAATGTGTGGAGCCTTCAAACAATTGCGTACGAAACAATAACCGACGGACATTGCGTGATCGACGTATGTTAAATGATGCAAAAATATGCTACCGAACCTTGACGAGTTAGTACAAGTATTGTGTTTGTTAAATAGACATGCCGGCTCCGTGACGCAGTGAATTAGCAACGAGTTGGGTTAGGTTGGGCCTCGGGTTCGAATCCCGCACTGAACAAGCATTTGTATGACCTAAAAATATTTTTTGCGGATCTGGATGTTTGTTCTTGTGAAATTTTTGTATGTAAACTGCCTCCACAATACAAGAGAAAATCTTAGTATTTTTAAACGTTTAAAAAATGAAAACAACAGTAAATTATCATTCGTATTAAAAATAATTCGACTGCAGTGACCTATTACTAATATAAACAAATAAAATGAAACGTTCGTTAGATGGAACTTGAAGACAACACTAACAATGCATGGTAGAGATATGCTGCAGCTATATTATAGTTGTAGCACGAATGGGTCGCGACCGGGGAAGGACCACGCTCTCACAGAATACCAGTATAAAATAATATAATGGAAACAAGGCACTCATCTTAGTTCTCACGGATGAGAGCGTATTAATTCGTAATCGAGGATAGATGTAGATGCCTATGGGCTACAGTAACCACTTACCATCAGGTGGCCTGTGGGCTCGTTTGTCGCCCTTATCCTATAAAAAAAAAAACACTATATTACGTGTAGTGGCGACTTTTTCGGAGCAAACCACGCGCCGTCTATCGAACATCACGTGTGTTACCCATACGCTTTGTATATATAGACATGTATAACATAATCAAAGCCGTACGGGCTTTGATTATATTATATTTGACTGAGCTAGCTCAGTATGCAGAGTAATGAACAACACAGAGAGCATTGCTTACTTCTTAAATAAATCTTTCTTATTTATAATATATTAGTTCCTATAGATTATAAATTCCGTACTTTATTCGTTATAAAATATTGTTCGAAAAGTTATTGTATTGATATCGATTTTTTTTTCTTAATTGGTGCATCGTACGTAAAGAACCTCATATAACTGAAAATGTTTGTTCTTGTGAGTGTTACAAGATGCCGTAATGCAAATTGCATAAATAATAAAGAAAAAAAAAACTAAAAAGTCTGTGATTGCCCCATAGTGGGGATAGTTACTGTGTATGTAAATTTTCACAAGACTACTCCGACTGGTCAATCACTTCACATCCGAAGTATTTCAATTTTTCTTAATTATGTACTTACCCCATGCTTTCGGACAATACATTGACTATGACATTATTTGCGGTCTCTGTGCTTGCACTACTCTGTACATTATTTTCCGACTCGGTCTTGATATTTACATTTTTAGTGTTTCTCACTTGAAACTAGAAAAGTATAAATGATCAGTTTGGCTAATGTAAATGAGTAAAAATGCAGCCTATTAGGCAGCCTCAAAACAAAAAATATAAGTAACCTCAAAATACAACATTCGAGCAGCGTTCATGCGATAAACTCTCTTTGTTTTACCACTTAGGTAACATTTATTTCTTTTCCTACCCATATTTACATTTATAGTCACTTAAACGCGTATAAAACACTAAATTAACGATTTTCGCTACAGACACAATGACTGTTGTTACCTTACGTCACACGTCGAAGCGCCTGGTAATTTATTACGGCAAACTTTTATCTGGCAATATACGATATTATTATTAGATGTTTTTAATTAAAACGAATTATGTTAATAAATGATATTTTGTATCGAAAATAAAGACGGCAGGCACCTTCGGAATCACAATACAAACATTTTTACGTAAAAGAATTTTTCCTAAATTAAAATTCACAGAGTTTTGGAAGAACAATCATTTTTAAATATCATTTCTTAACATTTTTTTATTTGTTGGTATATTCATTTATTTTAAAATTTTAAAACTGCGGGCACCTTGTGAAGAACCGAACAAACCTACAAAAAATGTTTTAACGCTTAGAATTACTTCAGGTCAAAGTTGTAGTGAAGAGAAATACTTTAAATTTCGCCAGTTCTCTTCGTATTCGGCCTTAAAACGGATTTTGTATGAAAAAAAACAGCCTATACGTATAAAAAATTTTCTTACCTGCGCTATGCCTTTTTGAATGCACTCCTCTAACAAATCACCGGCATCACTCAGATTGGAGCTGTCCGAGGTGTCGTGGTGCGTTTGCAGTTCGGGGGGCTTCGTTTTGGTTTGTTCGTGATGGGACGACCGCTGGCGAGGGGGAGGGGACTCTCTGAGGGGCTGCGGGTCGGTGGGTGCGGCTGGGGGTGCGGGGGGCGACGACTCGATGGACAGAGCCGACAGGTTGGAGTTGCTGCCCGCTTTGGACAAGATGGCTGGGGTGTCCTCCGTGAAGTACACTTTGCAAGTGTCACCTGGCGTCTGCGTTCCTGTGTTGATAAAAACAACATTTTAACTAAAGATTATAAATCGGATCGGAATGAAATTTAGTAGATAAGAAATCATCATAGTAGTGAGCACACCGCTTCGATTGGCTTGGTCAGGTAGAATGAATGAGAGAGGATTGCAATGTAATTCTAAATTATATTAAAATGTAATAAATGTATAATGTAGTATACATTAGTCGGTCGTTTAGCCGACGACGTGCAGCAGGTTTAGTCAAGTTGACGTTCTACAATCGCTAACGCTAATAGAAAATAAAAAAATCGGGGTGTGAGTGTGTCGTGAAAATGCTTTACGTGAATACGTGTATGTAACGAAATGCCCTCAAAATGGTGGCGCTCCCCCTCCCTCGCACGTGATATGTCGCAGACCTCACTTAACGTAACAAATTCGTTCAGCCACCGAATGGTGTAGGTAATTAAATTTTTGATGTAGATGATAGAAATGTAGTTGCAACATCAAATTATATCCTCCGATTTTTAATAACCAGTTTTCTGAATAGCTTCCTAATATAGAAGCAAATTTAAAGAAATATTCACATTAAAATCAATAAAAATGATATAATATCCTAATGATACCAGGCACTGTCACTTTACATTAGTTTTCTGCCAGTTTACTCGAGTTGACTTTCTAAAATTGTTAATGCTAGTAGATATGAGAAATCAATGGGAGTAACATGACTTAACGGCAAGTCACGTGACTATATTAACACATCCATTTACCTTGAACTGTGTATTTCTTTGTTTCTCCTACTTGTAAATCTGACAGATTAATTTTTATCTTCGGCAGTTAAGTTGCGAGTCGTGGTAGCTCAGATGGTTAGGGTTCGCTGTAATTTTCACAGTACGAAAACAAACCGGGTTCAATCCTCGCCGACACCAATGAAATTGTTAATTGCAATTTTAAGTGCTGATTTACCACGTGCTCGGCGATGTAGGAAAACATCGTGAGCAAACCTGCGTGACTGAGAAATAAGAAAAAATTATTTCAAAGACATGTGAAGTTCGCCAACACGGTTTGTGGCAGGGCAACAAGTACGTTGCCCTCTAAACCTCTCTCAGAAATGAGAGGAGGCCAGCAGTGGGACGTATATAGTCTGTAACTTAATTTTTTTTAAACCAATATAATAAATAAAAATTAATGTTTGTTCGTATTTTATGCGCTGTCACACCGTTCATCATTTAATGCTTTTGTGCTACAACTTTGTCAACTTAATGCTCGCAGATCATTTCTTCAATGAATGTATTATCATTCGTAATTAAAATATATAAATCTTCCAAATCTAAAACGATATTTCCAGTATTATTTCTTCTGCGGCAGAAATGCGCCAGGTACCAGTTAGTGGTTGCGCGGAAAACCATTCGTATTTATTTTATTTGACGGTAGGCTGCCAAATCGGTTATCCCTTTCCAAAACGATATCATTCGTACCCTCCTATCGACACATCGGGGTGGTGGGGTGGGAGGGGAAAGAAGATGATTCTAGAACATCACGTAATCATCGGAACCGAGGATATATAAGACACGCGCGACCGACGCGTGGCCTCTTCCCGCCGCGCTCATCGTTGCAACTACACCGCCTAGGATAATAGTGTCCTAAAGAGCTCTCTTCCCGCCGCGCTCGCCGTTGAAACTACACCGATTCTCTCCCGACGTATCTCTGGGGCCCCAGAGTGTCTGTCCAGAGGAGGTTCCAGAAGTCGCAGTTATAGTGTTCGACCGCACAGAAGAAACATCCCGGTGAGTCAACATTTTCCTAATAGTATTTTCCTGCTTGAGATAGTAGTTTTAACCCGCTCCAATTTTGTGTTTTCCTAATCAAGCAGGATTCCTTTCATCGATTTGGCATAATAGTTCGTTTTTTTGGGAAGAGCGAGTGCATTGTACCGCATATACAAGTGTAGAAGCATTAGTAGATACAGTCCACTTAGATTAATAATTCGCGCAATAGGTTTAAGGTTCGACCGGGGAACTAGACTTCGGCAGCCTTAAACACGTGGCTCCACCAGTTAGTGTTCAATAAATGTCAACAGCTCCATACAAAATGTTCCACATCAAAGTTCCCATTTTAACTGACAAGTAACAACTGGCCGATACTGCGAGTGTCACTTGGATAATTGAAACTAAAATGAATTACTACTTCACATTTGAATAAGTAACTAATTTTTGGTGATTTTGAATATCTAATTATATTAAATAAAACCGTATAGTGACGGTGTAAGAGAAGCCACGCTGGGTTTCGTTAGAGGTGAAAGAGGGAAACTAAAACAGGGCAATCATTGGTAGCGTTTTACAAAAAACAATAAAATACTGCGGATGGCAAACCATACGCCAAGCGTAGCATATATGGCAAATATCCTCCCCTCCCCCCTAAGAGGCGATCTATGGAGGAGACCTATGTTCAGCAAAGGAAGCTTAGCTTGATCGTTAATGATTGTGGTGAAGTCAAGCCGTAAAATTTGCAATTCGCTTAAACAAACTATTATTGTTTCCCTATGTATTTTAATGTGGACTTACCTTTCATAGGCTCATTACTTAATCCGGAAGTAGTTGGTAAACCTTTTTGTCTGAAACAAAAAAAAAATTCTTTTATATTTGAGGAAAGAATATATATACAATATGTAACGTAATTAACGCACACCCTCAGACACCCCCAATTAGTATATTATGTTATAATCATAATACATACACTGAATTTTTAGTTAAACATTTTTATGCACTGATTATTTATCAAATTAGTTATACTAATTCCGGAAGAATGTTGTGGTCACAGTACAAATCCACGAACGCAAAGACTTTAACGTGCTTGAAATAAAGTTCTTTTTTCTTTATTTTTATTGAATGACAGAATTAGTAATAATACAAATAAAAATGCACTCTTAAAAGTCTTATTACCTTAAGTTACGGTTCATTTCAGTTTGTTTTGACTGTACAGATTTAGTGTGACTGTAATTTACGTAGTTTTAATTATTTTTGAGATAAAAAATTACCTATATTAAAAATGATAGGAATCGATTCAGTAAACGATTCTGAACAAACTACTTTCTCAAAGTGCGTTAATTATGTTACAGAAGGACAAATTAGTGGTCCTAGTTAAATTAGTTTAGATAAATTTAGATAAATTAATGGTTGAATGGTAGATATATTATGCATTTTCAATTTGGATGTCAAAGAAATCTTGTTGAAAAACTTAAGTGCAAAAAATTAATACATTACCTATTAGAAATTAAAATGTATAGATACAAGAAAAAGCTTTAATCGCACTTCTAATGATAGAAATTACTCTAAAAATCCCTTAAATTAAAAGAATATTACTCAATAACAAACCTTCTTTACTATAAAAAATTATTCTGGAGGTTAATTGGTAAAAATAATAAATATTTCATTTTGTGTTTACAAGCTTTGAAGATTTACTATATATGAAGTCAATTCTGTAATTAACTTGGTGATATTTCAAAATCAGCAGGAGTTTTACTTTTGTACAGCATGCTGTACCTTTAATTTTCAAAATCATTTCTTCATTGATATGTGGAGTTATTTTATTATATTTGCTTTAAAAAATCTAAAGTTCATTTGTTAATGAATTACTTGACCAAATTTGATGTTTAATATTCTACTTCTATTTTGGTATACAAGGTGTAACTGTAAACACCGTTGTCACTAAAACCATATGTAGTTGGCTTTAATATAAAAATATTTATCCGAATTAAAAAAAACGTTATTTTCTTTCATAAAATTTAAAAAGTTTCTGTCCGACACCGTCCGTAAATTCATGAAACAGAAACAGAAACAGAAACTTTTTTATTCAATGTAGATTATAAACAATACTTATTGAAAGTCAGTTTTTTCATTTACCACTGGTTCGCAAAAAAACCTCTGTCCTGGGAAGAACCAGCAAGAAACCCAACGGGACTATTTTTTTTTTCAAATAATAGCTTACAATCATGTTTACAATTAACAACACAAGACAAATTAGAAATAGCTTGGTAGCGATCACCCTTCCCAGGGGTTATTATCATTATATTCCTTAATATTAAATTAACCCTTTTTATACTAACTTAGTTTAATAAAATTTTTGAACTTTGCGTATGACAAATTTTGTATATTTTCTGGGATTTTGTTGCAAAAGCGTATACATCGCCCCAAGAATGAATTACTGACTCGGTGGAGTCGAGTAACTGGTACTACCGTTCCTAGTATTTACAGAATGAATATCACTTATTTTTGCAAAACTACTTTTATTTTTGTGTACGTACATTACATTTTCATAAATATATTGAGAGGCCAGAGTTAATATATTAATTTCCTTAAATTTTTGTCTCAGTGACTCTTTTGGTTTTAAATTATATATTGCTCTAATGGCTCTCTTCTGTAAAATAAATATAATTTCATTGTCAGTCGCGTGTCCCCATAGCAAAATACCATACGACATAATGCATGACATGGCATGCAATGACATGGATACCCTATGCGCCCGAGTGACGTACCTACACAACATTCCAATAAAAACACAATAGGTACACATAACCTGTGATGTAACTTTTCCTTCATACTTTCATCCTGGCTTAGGACAGGCAAAAATTGAGGAATGGAGGAAAAATTGCGATTTTACTTTAAAAAAAATTATTTTTCATTGAATTTACGTTCTATAAGTGAAACAAAACCAATGTTTTCAAAGATAACGGTGTTTACATTAACACTCCCTTTAAAACCTACTAGAGCAATTATACGCGGTAGAGCCATGCTGCTGCTATATCAGTAGTACAGTTGTAGCACGAACTGATCGGCTCCACCGAGGAAAGACCACGCTCGCTCAGAATACCCGCGTAAAATAGCAACTTAATGCTGATGTGTTTCGTATGGTGAGTGTAGAGAACCGGAGACCCTTTTACCGGAAACGATGCATTCCATTTTAGTACTCACGGGTGACAACGCTTATGCATTTTGATTTGTGATCGAGGATGGATGTAGATGTCTATGGGCCACAGCAACCACTTGCGGGTAGACTGTGTGCTCGTTAACCTGTGCTCGTGTGCCCTTATCCTATTGTTACGCGCTCCAGTCAACGATACACTAGCGCCATCTAGTGTCAGGAACGAGAGCGAGGGGAGCATTGAGAAAATGACATCACAAATTACTCAACCGACAGCGCCTAGTCGAAACTCGAACGCTCGGTACCTTCCGCGTGTTTACTTGAACATTCTGGATATTTCTTTGCTAATTTAAATATATAGGCGCTGCAAGATGCGATGGAAGTAGTGTTGATTTGGCGAAACAAGCGAAGCTTCGGAGCGGAGTAAAAGTGAATTAGTGTGTTTAAATTATTAGTGTTTTAACTTTAATTGTGTAAAGTAAATTAAAGTGTTAATTTAGGTAATTTTATCGGCAATTTTTATTGTCACGAACCTCAAGCTCGTAACACTATAATAATATTAAATGTGTTATTTTATAACCGAAAAAAAAAATTGTTTCGTTTGCTTAATTCTATACGAGTCCAGTGTAGGGCGGTGTAAGAACATCCACTACCCCATATCATCCCGTGGGTGTCGTAAGAGACGACAGAGGGAGACTACAACGGGAGAAGGGCAGCAGCATCTTCCCAATAACAACTATAAAATAAAAAAAACTGCGGTTGTCAAGCCGCTAGTCAAGTGAGGCAGCTATGACATATATCCCCCCCTTGAGGCAATCTATAGGGGAGGCCTAAGTCCACCAGTGGAATCTTAAAGTTACAGCCTATATACGTCCCACTGCTGGGCACAGGCCTCCTCTCATTTCTGAAAGTGTTTTAAGGCAAGAACTGTCCGCCTCGATGCTCCAATGCATGTTGGCGAACTTCACATGTCTTAGAAATATTTTTTTCTTATTACTCGGACATGCAGGTTTACTCACGATGTTTTCCTTTACCGCCGAGCACGTGGTAAATCACCACTTGAAATTGCAGTTAACAATTTCATTGGTGCCGACGGGGATCGAACCCGGGTTGCTCGCGTACTGTGAAATTTACAGCGAACACTAACCATCTGAGCTTCCACAGCTCATAGTGCACTCTTAATAGGCTCACTGTAACCGTTTAGTTTTATAAAATCAATACGAGGTACCTGTTAATATCCGGCTGTACACAGGAAACAGCAGCATTCGTTGGCGGTGATTGGCTGGATTCCGGCTCAGTAGTTTTTATCATCAGCGACTGCTGTGAGGAAAATTCACGCGGACAATTAGTTTGGCGCAAGTTAGGATAATTACAGGAAACATTTCGTAGTTTCGTTCTTTTTTTTTCGTTCTTCGTGCTCAAGGGTGTCGATATTCAATTGGAGGTATGGAAGGGTGCGGCGGTATTTCATGCCGGGGAAGCTTCTTACCTTATACTGGGTGACCTTTTTTTACTTTTTAGATTAAACAAATATATTAATTTCTATCGAAATTCAAATCATATCCACCCTACTTTACGAACGGCAATAAAACAATAAATTTAGTAGGCATCTCTGAACTTGTCACAAGCTAGGGTGAATATGATTTGCATTTCGGTAAATTTTAATTTATTTATTTAATCCAAAATTTTTGTTTTATTTTTTGTAAAATATGAGTGCCATAGGCTTCTACTTCGTTCGCATGTTACACCCTATTTTTTCCCAGGCGGTACAAAAGTATATATATATATATAGTTTAGTTAAACATTTAGTTAAACATTTTTATGCACTGATTATTTATCAAATTAGTTATACTAATTCCGGAAGAATGTTGTGGTCACAGTACAAATCCACGAACGCAAAGACTTTAACGTGCTTGAAATAAAGTTCATTTTTCTTTATTTTTATTGAATGACAGAATTAGTAATAATACAAATAAAACTGCACTCTTAAAAGTCTTATTGCCTTAAGTTACGGTCCATTTCAGTTTTTGACTGTACAGATTTAGTGTGACTGTAATTTACGTAGTTTTAATTATTTTTGGGATAAAAAATTACCTATATTAAAAATGATAGGAATCGATTCAGTAAATGATTCTGAACGAACTACTTTCTCAAAGTGCGTTAATTATGTTACATGTTGTATATATATATATATATATATATATCATATGTAACTATCGTATCTATTATTATTATTATTTATTGATTTATTTTATTTTTATTTATTGTTTTATTTTATATAATTTCCGTAACATTGTGTATATTATTTATTTTTAGTAGTACTAATGTATGCACTAAGTTTGCAATTTAAATATAATTTCCTTTATGGGTCTACTGGAAGATATTTCAGCGAATTTGGAATAAGTAGAACCTTTGTACGTAATTACTATAAGACTGCTTCTGTACCTTAATGTGTGTACATAAAATAAATAAAAAAAAAAGGTCATCCAGTATAAAGCGCAAGTCCGGTCGTGCGTAGAGTACTGCTGTCACATTAGCGCAGGTGCTGCAATATGCCACCTAGCAGCGTTGGACTCAGTGGAGAGACGTGCTAAAGGCTCATTGGTGATCTTCATATAGTTGAAACCAATCCTGTCAGTCTCGAGCGCAGGCGCAGAGTAGCCAGCCTCTCAGCATTCTATAGGATGCATTTCGGTGAATGTGCGCAGGAATTGCACGCTTTAATTCCTCCCTCTCCTTTCCACCATCGGACAAAGACGGTTGGCGAGTCGTCACTCCTTTATTGTCGATATTCCACGCATTAGTACCAAACAGTTTGCTTCCTGTTTTGTAATACGTACAGCAAAGGAGTGGAATAATTTGCCGGCGTCTCCGGAAAAATCGTATGAATACAATCTGGGCAAAGCAAGAGCGAATAGGCTTTTGTTATTGTGCGATTTACTAATTTACATGGGCTACATCATCACTTACCACCAGGTGGGATTGTGCCCAAGCACTGGCTTATAATAAGTTAAAAAAATGTATCTGTCAATGTGTCAATGGAGCCCAGCGCCTGCTTACTATCAGCTGAACTGTGTGCTCGCTCGTCAGCTTTACTTCTAAAAAGAAATAAACACGAAGATTATCGCAATACAGCCTGATTGGAAATACTAATTTGGATTTTGCATGAATAATCTATATATTAACACGTGAAGAGAAAATCTTGGGACCTTTTTTTAGCATATTACGCGCACGGAGGAAGGTAAGATTTGACATAGTTACAGTTTATATGGAAAAGGAAAACAAAACATTCATTGTTTACGTACATAATTCCAATGTTAAAACCATGGTTAAAAAGTAGCACAGAGCGAAGAGTATACGGGGTTATTTTGCAGTAACCGTCCTAATTTGCAGAGAAAGTATAGAATAAGTAATATAGGCAAATGGTGAAGAAAAATTAATATAATAAAAAAAATTCAAACATTCTACTAAATTCAAAATGCATGGTAATGCAACATTGAACTAATTTTACTGTGCACGCATTACATTCGTAAGGGTCCATTCCGTAGGCAATAAAGTTGTTGCCTATAAATCACATTCATTTTGGGATAATTTCAAATAAAGTAGAAGCCTTATTTACTCGTATTTTCAAAAACTGCAATAAGGATATATCACTATTAGAATTTGGCTACCCTTTGAAAAATAACCCTGTATAATTACATCAATGAACAGTTGAAAGTGAAATACAACTTGCTTAATATACAAAGTCAAAAATTAAATGAATTACGGTCGAAGATCGAGACCTAGGCGACCACGAGTAGTTACAATGATGCGTTTATTCTTTGCTTATATGTGTTATAAATTATTGGCAAAACTGTTTTATTATACATATTATAATAGTTGTCTTTATACATATTATAATAGTTGGTGCGTCTGTTAGTGATCGCGTAACTTCAGAACGGCTTGACTGATTGAGGTAATAATATTCACACAATATATTAGTTTTATTGCTGTAACTCAGTAAATATTCAGTTTTATTTAGTGCGTGTGCTGCATGGGTGTAAGTGCGCGCGTGCGTGCGTGTGTGTGTGTGTGTGTGTGTGTTGTGTGCATGTGCGTGAGTGCGAGTGCGCGAGAGTACGTGCGTGTGTGGTGTGTGCAGATAGTTGAGTACAAATGTCAGTTGACAACTGACCTTGGGCTCGTCGTCGATGGTGAGGCTGCTGAGGCTGGTGTTGTTGGAGAAGTGCGCGGGCGTGTGCTCCAGCACGAAGCGCGACACGCGCTCCGCGAACACTGACGCCGCGCCACACGCTTCTGTGCACAGTACCAATACTGTTAGTGACTGCCTGGCCCATGTGGGTCCACTGCTCGTAAGTACCGTACCACCTTCGACTCTCGGATCGATCGAAAATGGTCCTTCACCTAATCTCTCACAAGTCGTATCAGATTAACGTCTCATCGAATTATGTGAGTGAGAAAATAAAGAAGTGACACAATGGGTCTGTTGACACTCCCCCCCGAGACCAAAAATGTGGGAAAAAAAAAAAAAAAAAAAAAAAAAAAAGAGGGCGAGACCAAACGGTCCAGAGTTCTAGGGAAAGGGTAAGAAACTGGCGGACGATGCGGGATACTAGATACCGCTAGTTATACCGCCTTTTGCATTTGAGTCCGAAGCGATCCGTCACGGAGTCCCAGTCGCCTCAGATGATCCGAAATGCTGACCGAGATTAACCTTGCAGAAACGACAACGACTACAGGAATAATTTCAGTCGGCAGACCACTCCACATGTCGACTACTTTGTGAGCCAAGTCAAGATATTTTGTTTGGTTGTCTCTTTCGGCTTTCACAAGGTTTTTGCGGTAATGTCGCCCAAAAATATCGCAATGACTGCGTCCGGTCTATCAGCACAAGGCTTATTCATAAGAATAGTCCTGTCAGTGATGATGTCCCGGCCCCAGTAGAACCTAGCGCGGTCATTTTCGAGCAGGTCTTCCAGCAAGTTAGTAGTTAAATTAAAGCACTTTCCGATTCACTAGATTGAGTTTATGCAAGTAAGTACTCAGTGGAAAGCACCCAACAACCGGACATGACATGCCTAAGTTATTTACCAGGATGGCGTCAAGCTCGACAGACCTGATCCTGTATCGCAAAAGAGAAAACCCTCGGTGTCCGGAAGGTGACCGCGCCCCCATAGACTCCTTTTCCTTTCATACAGTTTCCCGGTCGGAAATGCTCTGTACCTGGGGCTTGCCACTGCTTGTTGGCTAAGTATAATGGATTATCCGATCTCGATAAGAATTGCTTAAATGGGGAACTGCACAATTAGCGATTGCGCATGGTGAGAGCACTTAAAGAGTCACACTAACCTTACTTTCGCGGCCAGTACAGCCTCATAATCGGAGATCTCAGGTGATGCATTCTGTGGGACGTCATCATATAACTACGAACTTTTCTATCTAAGACGATAAGTTCTGTATAAATCCATCAGAGTATGTTAAAGCTATACATGAGTATGGACATGACTAAATTGTTATAGGTGCATATACTGGTAACCTTATTCGGCTGACAAGAGGCTGTGAAGCATTTTTGTCAAACGTGCCAAAAACTGATCGCAAACTGATTTTTTCATGTCCGCCTCATCGATACCTATATTTTGTGACATAACCAGGTATTGGTACGTTTCATCCTTCGAAAAGGTTCCTTATTCTGACGAACATAGATAATTCTATATCCTCAAGGTTGTAAGCGACTATACTCCATTCAACATGGAGGACCGCACAATTAATCGTGCTTCCAATTTAATAGAGCTGCTGTATCACAAGTGATGTTTAGCAACGCCATTAGACGGAAGCGACTGGAGGTGAATAATTTGAGGTTATCCAAATAATATTTTTTATAGGTGAGTCAGTTTTTTATCCTCTATTTTTGGAATCCTCCAGGAAGGTATTGAGACGGTTCAAAGAAATACAAACCCAGATGGGACTTAAGCAATCAATATGGAAGATAACCCCTACGTATCATCATTTGGTTATCCGCATCCGTCATCCGTTCGCCTAGATGACAAAGGATCGCTGCAGTGGAATCATTGGACCATAAACTGTTCGAGGAAGTCTCTTACCTATTTTTATTATCTTAAACCTCCTTCTGGGTGCTTTTTTCTCTTCTGTACTATTGTGTGTGTGTGTATGTGAGTATATATGAATGTGCGGTCGACTTACCCGTGTCGTGCGCGAGCGAGAAGTCCGTGTGTGCGTGTGCGAGCGAGAGCGCGGGCGCGGCGGCGGGCGGCGAGCGCGGCGCGCTGTGGCCCGGTGAGTCCGGGATCTCGCTCGGCGAGATGCAGCCCGACGTCAGCCGGCTGCAAACCACACCCTTTATTAATACCGCGGTACAAATTTTGACACATATCTCGCGAAAGACATAGGATTGTGGAGTTATTCTCTGATATATAATCTTCAAACCGGAATCGTCTGTAAGACTTATGAATAATTCCGGTTCCGTTCGAGCAATGTGATTTATTCTTTGCAAATGAGTCACCAATTGCTCACCAATCTTAAAATAGAAATCACATCTCAAAAGCAGGTAAGGGCGTTTACAAAGGAGAAGCTGCTAGCTTGAATCCTCCAATAAAAGGACCATAGCACATAAAGTATTAAATCACTGATTGTCACCAATTCCTCACTAAATCTTGACATAGCAAAATCATAAAAAAATTAGCATATCGTTGAGGAGGATTCTAGCTTAAAAGATGCACACGGGATGCACAAACTTATATTACTAAATATATCTAAAAAAAGAAACAGCACGAGATTTAACGGCATCTTAAAATTGAGCAGCTTTTGAAAATTTGACCTTTGTCTTAAAGGTATATTACTAGAGCGGTAATTCAGAACAAAAACTAAGTCACAGCTGAGGATCGCGCGGGCGCCGGCAGGGCGGGCAGCTGTCGCGGTAAATATGCTACGCAGTTGTATTTTCATTTACGACACTTACTGTTTGATGTTCACTAGATTTAAGTTAAATAAACTTCACCTCTTTAAATGATATTGAGAAATGAGATGTTCCAAAAAGTATGGAGCCTGGGCCAGGTTTTTGTACAATATACTCAAAAATAGGGAAACGCATTGTAAACGGTTCTCAACTGTCCAATTAATTTATAATAGCTTTGTTTGCTGGTAAAGCACAGGAAATTACACTTGAAATTGCAACACACAACAAAAACCTGTCATAGCGGTAAGTTGTAATTTTTATTCATTAGTTACGTTTGACATCTTTATTTCACGTATTTTTGACACTGTTGTTACGACTGACAGTTCTCTTTTTATGATCATTGGTCGCTTTATAGTTTACTGTCATTGTTTATAAGCACAGAGTAATTAAATCGATGATACGCCATGTTGAAAGTAGATAAAAATAATTGATTAACATCAATTGTTTACCACAACAGGATACATTTAATGATCATCTGTATTTTTCTCAATTCTACAGATTTTTTCTCTTTTTTTGAAGTAGTGTACAAAGACCTGGCCCATTTTGAAACATCTGCTTTCTCACATAAATGACAGCGTTTTCTAGTCACATTAAATAAAATCAGAGTTAGATTGTCAAAAACACCGTTCACGGTTTACAAAACAAAGAACTAGTCTTCTCATCAGGCTTAAGGAGAAATGACAGTAACTTATTGGTGCACATATAAGAGTATCCATCGCCACATTTCGTCCTGTATAAGGACCGGCTATGAGAACAGAAATAATGCTACTATTATATCCTAATGCTTAAAATAATAATGCTGCCGTATTTTGCATTTCTTATCGTTAGTGTAGAGAACTGAAGACTTTTAACCAAAAACGAGGCTTTCCATCTTTCTCCTCAGGGGTGACAACGCATCTGCATTTTGATTCTTAATCGAGGATAAATGTAAATGTTTATAGGCCACATACCATCAGGTGGAATGTGTGCTTGTTTGCACCTTTATTCAATAAAAAAACCACAATACCGAATAGTAGTATAATAGTAACAGAACTATGTTGTTTAAGTCATATATAATAATAACCAGACAAATGATAGAGAGCAGTGCCAAAGATGCAGGATATAATATTTATAACATTTTGGAGCCATGTTGCGGATATACTATGGTTATAGCACAATAGGATCGGCTGAACCGGGAAGCACCATGTTCTTACAAAATAACAGCTTAAAATAGCAGCTTAATGCTGCTTATGTTTCGTATGGTGAATGTAGACAACTGGAGACCCTTGTTACTGGGAACGAGGCATTCCATCTTAGTCCTCAGGGGTGACAACACATCTGCATTTTGATTCTTAATTGAAGATAAATGTGGATGTCTATGGACCACAGAATCCACTTACCATCAGGTTGGACTGTATGCTCCTTTTTTATCCTTATTCTATAAAAAAATGTGGCAGTGATCGGTAATCCACTACAATTATAGCTAGTCCTCACTTCAATGCGATAAACCCGTGTCCAGCAGTGAACCTCAACCGATTGTAACAAAACTTGAGTAACTCACCTGACTTCAGACACGACAGAACCCTGATCATCTTGCTGGGAGCACTCCGGTAAAGACCCGAGGGAACTCGACCTGGAGAACATTAGGGGAGTGTCTTCTATGAAGCGTTGCGAAGGTGAACCTGTCTGTGCTGAAGCCAGCCCAGGAGTCTCCGGTTGTGAAATTCGAGGCTCCGTTGCGAATGTTACCGCTTTCGAACCTGTGGATTTGTTCACTGTTAGATATGTTTTTTTAACTGTACTAATAGTAAATATAAATCTTTATATATAAAAAATTACGTATCACGTTGCTCGTCCGCAATGAACTCCAAAACCATTAAACCGATTTTAATGAGATTTTTTTAAATGTGTATTGCTTGCTCCAATTTGAGAGGCAGGATCGTTTTTATCACGACGATCACTTAACCTTCAATATTTTTTATTGCGAATTTAAAGATTTTTTTAAAGGACAAAGGGGCGTTATAAAGGGCAGTACAAAGTATACCTGGCCAGCTGGTAAAAAATTTTTAGTAAGAAATGAATATTTTTCTTATAATATAATATCCAGTAGTTGTTGGGATGGATCAATAGATTTAACTTGACTGGGTAATCTGAAAACTTAAAAACAAGAATGCCAGTGCACGTTGCCAGTGATGACATATGTGTCTAAGACACATGTTCCTTCACTGTTGGTCATATGAGGAAGCTCAAGATTGTTCAAAGAGCTGTGGGAGGGCTATGCTCGGAGTTTATCTGCGTGATAGACTACGCAGTAAAGATTTCGATAGTAGAAGCAGAGTAATTGACATATTGAAACGGATCAGTAAGATGAAGTGACAATAGGCTGGCTACATAGCTTGCGTAACCTCGCATCGGCCTCGTTCCACCTCGTACCGGTAAGAGAAGAGTAGTTTATAGAAGAAGAGTAGTTGTCTGAGGAAGTCGATAGATGCATGTGAAAAAAAACACTTTTTATACGTGGTAGGACCACACTGCAGCTATATTATGGTTTTAGCGCGAATGGGTCGGCTCGACCGCGAAAGGACCACGAATCTCTCACAGAATACCAGCGTAAAAAAGCAGTTTAATACTGCTGTTTCGTATAGTCAGTGTAGAGATCCGGAGACCCTTTTTTACTGGAGACGAGGCATTCCATTTTAGTCCTAAGGGGTGACAACATCCTTATTCTATAGAAAAAAAAAGACCGGGCTATGTGGCATTTCTTGAGGGAGGCTTATGTTGAGCAATGGACTTGTAAAGGTGTGCAATGATGATAGTTACATGTCTTTTAGACTCAAAAGTTTACTGTAATCAAGGCAGTGCTTTTTAAAAGTTTTGTTTACCTACCCTCTTTTTCCTTTGCAGAACTGCTGGTACTCTGTTCGTGCGGACTAGGCTCAACATTGATAGTGGCTTGTGCGTTCTTTTTCGCTAAGCTGTCTTCCTCGGTGGGTTCTCCAAGACTACTCAACGAACTGACCCTCGAAAAATAGCCGGGGGTGCCCTCATCGCAGTAATTGACAGGTTTCTCTGGACTGATCATTCCTGAGCTGAACTTGGTATCAAAGACACCTCGTTTCTCTGGAATCGGTTCCACTGATTGTTGCGGAGGGGTTGATATGGCTCTGTCGTTGTCATGCCTCGGGGGATCTTCGATAGAACATGTGTCTTTCTCGTCTGAATGGGTCATGGCTTCAGGATGTTCCTTCATATTTGGTATACTCTTCGGTTTCACTTCTTTCCCAATTACGCGTAAATCTGACATGGAAGTGGCTGTAGAGAAAATGATCGGAGTTTCGTAGGGAGTACCTTCCGTAGCGAAGTGTTTAATGGTATCCTCATGAACTGAAGGTCCAGGAGGCTCGGAAATATCCGACCCTGTCTCAGATTGATGCTCAGCGTAACGCAGAGAATAATCTGTTGGTTGGTCTAAATCTGTTTCTTGATAATCGCCAAAGGTGTTCGGGTTTTCTTTTTTATCCTTTTTAGGTTCAGAAGTTTTGGCTTTCTCTTGTGATAAAGTCGCCTCAGCTTCATTGGTCTTAGTTTCTGAGTATTTTCTACTATAGTCTATGGGTTGGTCGCAGGAATCCTGGTCGACGTCGTAACCAGATTCCGTGTAATTCGTTCTCATATCAGTGGAGCTTCTGGGTGGTGGTATAGGTGGTTGGCTGTATCGAAGATAGGTGTTATCTTTTGTTAGTGCTTTCGAGGTTGCCTTAAACGCTTCGCCCGAATTTTCCATTTTCATCAAGTCCTTGTTACGCGGTGTGGGTACTGGCACTTTGCCTGTGCGCATGACTCTTTCAAACACAGAGTCGGAATGCGTGCTAGTGACAGAGTCTTTACTGTCCGATCTGTTGACGCTCCCCGCGCTGCCGGTGTTCGATCTTGTCACTAAAGCACCTTTTAACAGCGTGTTACTGCAGCTGAGATAGCTCGCCAAATGAGCGCTGTGACTTAGTGATATCTGCGAAGCTAGCGTTCCCATGAGTGGCGAACTAGACGTCATTCTGTGTCTCTCCAAATTCATGGCTATTTGTCTTTCGGTCGCAGTGAAGAGATTTTTTTCCTCCCTGTTGCTTGTTGAGGGGGATGTAGCTGGTTCGATATTGTCGCAAGTTTCCGCTAGGTTCTGATCGAGTTCTTGTTCTAAGGCCTTTTGTTTTCGAGCGCCGAGTGTGGGTAAGGCTGGCAGGTTCATACTCCTAGCGGTCGTGTCTAGAGATATGATGTGTGTCTTGCCTGGTTTCGAATTTAATAGATTCTTAAGAGCTGCACTAGAGCCCATAGCTATCATTTTGTGTTTGGAATGAATAAGGCTTCGTAGCATCGGGACCGCCCCATGGTCCCATAAGAACTGTTGATCTTGTGGGCATCTTGCCGATAGGTTCCACAGAGTACCACAAGAGTTGCTTACAACAGTCAAACTTGGTGACTTCAGATGCTGCAGTAAGACACTTAAACAATTTCTCTCGCGGAGAATTTGCCTGTAATCTTCACGGACGGCGATGTGGCTGGAAACGTTCCTCATTATACCACCTGCGTTTTCCACGATCGCCAATGTCTTTGTTGGTGAATTGTAGCTGAGCATATCGACGAGAAATCCTAAGGCTCCGTCGACGGAGCACAAAGCTACTTTGTTCATAGAACAATGAGCAGTCAGGTTCCAAAGTGCCGACAACACGGACTTCAAAGTCGCCTCTTTTTGGCAAGTCATCGCAGCTTTGGTTAGTCCCTTGACTGCTCCAACTTCTCTTAATACTTGTTTACTGTTGGTATCTGCTCTCCATGATAAGTTTCTAAGTACCGCGGCAGTTACCTGTAAAGAACAAGGATTTTATTTAAAAGCACTCAATGTTCAGGAGTGGAATTTCGAAAGGCAGTAACGGTAAATAATTTCAACCACTACATTTATCTAAAAATCCAGAGCTTTTTCTTATTGCTATCTCCTCTGAAACTAACAACTTTCATTGAAACTGAGCCCACATAATCTACGTAGCGTAAAAAGTGCATAGATTCATTTTTATATCTCTAGCAACTGTCATTAATATAAAATAGAGATTTTCATACACATAAATTTTGTATGTGTATGTAATTAAAATACACATGGGTCACCTAATATAGATGGTTTAATGCTTGGTATATTTTTGAATGTGAATTTTAGGGAGTGAGACCTGTATAATGAATACTGGTAAATATGCTAGTGCATTTAATGCTAATGACTTTGTATTCTCACGTCTGTTTATTTATTTTTATATTAAAACATGTCTAATTTTAAAAAAATTGAGAAATACTAATTGATTTATTTACTATACAATAACAATAAATATTTAGTTACCTAAGATTTTTAATGCTAAAATAATTTACCGTGTAGTGGAGATATAAGAATATCCACTGCCCCATATCACCCCGCGGTTGTCGTAAGAGGCGACAAAGGGAAACAAATCAAAAGAAAGGGGAGGGTGTCAGCGTCTTCCTAATAACATCTAGAAAACAAACTTCGGTCGCCAACCTGCCTGCCAAACGTGGCAAGTGGCAACTATGGCAAATATTCCCCTTATGGGTGTGAGTCCAATGTGACTTAAATAGGCGATAATGAATTATTGAATCATTGACGCATTTGTCGATAAACATAGCTGAACTTCTACTTCATCTAAACAAATAGCCTACTTCCTCTACCAGCCTTTTCCATCAACCTATAAAAGGACATTGCTGGAAATGAACCTCTCCTGTTGTAGAGAAAAGTTGCCACAATTTTCACGCTCAGCACACGGATTTTTGTAACAACTTTGTGCGTTCTGTTACTTGAATATGAAATAATAAAGTTAAGGGCATCATTTCTTACACCATAGTGTTGTAGTTTCCTGTTTAATAACTCATGGTGAACACAATCGAACGTTTTGGATAGGTACCTCAGAATATACCGGTCTGAGTATTATAAGTCCTGTATAAACGAGATGGTACCGCTATATATCGGAAACCATAAGATTTTTCTAGTACATTGTTACAACAGCAAACTGCGTATTACGTCATATTGCACGAGAATGTTCTCGACGATAGACAATTAATACAAGCAAAAAAACAACCTTATGTCTAAGATTATAAAGGCCTTTCTTCTTTGAATTTTGTTATTGTTTATATTATTGGGAGTGTTCTAGTACTTTCCTGTGGTAGGCAAAGATTTAAATAGTTAGATTTCATCTTCAAAACTATGGCATTATTTTAGGATGTGTTCGTTTGCAAGACGCTGACGCGCACACGCTAATGCAATAGTGTCATCTCTTATTATGTTACAGAAATTGTGTATACTACCTTCTTTGTCGCTCAAATGAGCACTGATTGCGAATAAGTGAGCTCACTCATTTGAGAATAGACACATTTCAGAGTGGTCATATTATTATGGTAAGGGCGCATCTAACTATTTAAATCTTTGGTTGTAGGAGTGGAAGGAACGTCCTGGAATGGCCTAGAAAGTTCTATATTAAATTTATCGAATATAAAAGCGTGTACCGGGGTGCGAAGAATAAGTTATTTTCGGGAACGCGAAAGTGAACTCTTCTCCAGGAAGCGAATACGAGAATTCGACCTACAACATCTGCGATTATTAAGGATCTCACCGAAGAAACTTAGCGATTTTGGACGACGTATTTATAAACTTGCTTTGTGTGTGGAATAATACATTCATTTTTCATCCTAATCGGTACATTTACTCACCCCGCACGTAACAATATCTATAGTGGTGGCCTCTTACGACACCCACGGGACGGAAAGGGTCCATTAAAATTCAATTACAAACAAATAATAAAGGAATAATAATAACTGACCTGTCGCATATCGTCATTAGGCGATTCCAGTTGCTCAACCAACGCCAACATGAAATCTTTGAAGGAGCACAAAAGAGACTTGTTGTTGCCATCTCCGAATGTTAGGTTTGTCAACGTCATCCCCGCGTACTTCCTCATAGTCAGGCACGTATTGTCGTCAGTTCTGCTACCATGTGCTGCCTGATCTCCGCTCACCAATGCCGCTAAGGCCTGTAGTCCTCCTAACTGGCAAACAACATGTCGGTGCTCTTCATCGAAGGATAGTTTCATGAGAGCTGCAACGCTTTGGCTCGGATGCTTGGTAGCGTCATCCTCTATTACCTCCTTTCCTTCCTTTCTCGCTTCTACTACGTCTTCTAATATGTAACAATATTCTCTAACTTGTTCAAGCAATCTCCATACTCTTGCTTCTCGTCTACCTGCTTTATCATCTGTCTGGGTATGAATGATGTTTCGGAGTGCCTTGGCTGCGCGATCTCGAGTCTCTCTGGGCACTTTCGAATGAATGAGCTGTACGAGCAACGGGATACAACCAGCTTGTCGCATTGCTATACAACTTTCAACTGATCTACTCATTTCTAAGAGGGGTCCGCTGAGGTCAGCGTTATTTTCTGGAGACAAACTGAGAAGAGATATTAAGGAACATACGCACTCCATTTTATTTTCTAGATTTGATGAAGGTCTTGGGCAATTACTGGAGCCATTGCTTGAAAAGCTTCGGACACTGGCGGAGTCGTGACCAGTCCACACGTCCCGTTCTCCAGGCCAAGTTCCTCTGTATAACTGGGAAGCCCGTTTATCACGTTCGCTTGACCTGGCAGCACTTTCTAACCCATAATGCAATGTGCTCCTATAACTTGTTCTGTGAGGTCTGTCCTCTTGAGCAGTGTATGTGGAAGACTGTGGTTTAGTTTGTCTTTTGGGTAGGGCTCCAGCTTTTTTTTGTGCTTGGCTTTCATCGCCGTCTATTTCATCATCTAGGAAGTTCGGGTTTGTTATATCGCTACGTTCATCAAATTCGTCGGGCGATGGGGAATGATCTAGAAAATGCGGTTTAGGTATACGACATTCAATATTTGATCGAGACGGTGGCTGATAATCGTCGTCAAGGAAATGCGGGCGGCGGGAAGCAGGGTCTGGCTCTAGAGTCTCTAGCTCCAAAGTAAGATCCCGGGAACGTGCCTTGTCTGTAGCTTTAGGGGTAAACTTCGTTACATTTCTAACTTTAGTGTCTTTTGGGTCCGGTAAGCGACGCGCTTCAGGAGAAATTGGGCTAGAGGTATCTAGAGGTCCACGAGGAGGTTCGCTTGAGGTTGAAGGTGTGCAGTCTTCGCTGGCGGAAGGTCCGGAGTCAGTTAACGGTGAATTAGAAGAGTCCATACTGCCCCAAGGATCTACCATCACTTCGTTCTCCAACTGAAACAATAATTAATGAAAGAAATTTAATTTTATATACTTAATATAAGTAATTGTAATTCTGAAAAAGACAAACGAGTCAGTATCGAGACTTCTCAGAGTCTAAAATTATGTGTTCAATTCAATTCGAAATACATTTACACAACTATTATTATTCCATATATTACAGCTGACAAATTGCAATTAGGTTAAACTTATTTAGCTCAAGCATCAAAAATACTATTGCAAAACTATTATTATTATCATATCACGCGGCGTAATTTTGCAGGGGCCAATTTATCCATCAACTACTTTTATCGTAACCCAATATAAAAGTAAAATATTTCAACTTTTTTTGTTCATAAAATGTATTTTTAATAAGTTTTTGTCGAAATAGAAAAAGAAACATTTTTTTTTCAATGTAGATTATATACTTATTGTAAGTCGCTCATTATGTTTAATTTGCCACTGGTTCAGAAACTACCTCTGGCCCGGGAAGAACCAACAAGAAACCCAGCGGGTTTTTTTAATTGTATTTTGTTGTATTTTATTCTACAAATAACTTTTATTAGATTATTGAAAATTCAGTCCATGGGCTAAAAATCAAAGAAATAAAATTATCGAGACAGTGATTTTAGTGCATGTTCTGGACGGAATCACCAATCGTAAATCGATGCTAGGCGCTATCGAGTAATCGAGTAATGGTACCCGGCAGCCCGTCACAGTCAAGGCCAGTCGGCCGCGCGTGGGGGTCGCTTGTCTGCTGGAATTTATTTGTGGATGCAGTCAAAATACTGGTTACAGAATCGCGCTATGGAATACCAGATGTAAATTAGTTACGATTATCAAGCGTCATTGAACGATATAAAGAAATAAATATTAAATACAGCGACCAATGTAAAGAATTTATAGATATATATGAAACTAACAGTAGCTAATGGCTGAGTGCGAAGCGAAATCTCAAAAGGTCGTGGGTTCGAATCCGCCGTTCGACTTACGTCATGAACCACTCCTCACACGAGTATCTTAAATTTAATATGAGTAATGTTAATAGCATTGCTAGTATAATTTGTTAATAAAAAAAGTATAATAGATTTTGTATTTGTAAACTTCTACCGAGTAGTGACAGACGAGTTAGAAATTTCATTACCCCATTTTGCCTTGTCGGTGAAGTGAGAGAGGACTATGGGATATGCAAAAAACACTCCATGGTTTCCGATTGGTGGCGCTGTAACCATCTCATTTATGTCAGACGTAAAATACTCAGACCGATGCGACGAGGGAAAGCGTTGTCAAAGTTTCAAAGACGCGATACTGATGCTCGCTGATCCAGCTGCCAAGTGTGGGCTTCATCAGCGATCATCAGTATTGCCACCAATTTAATCATAACGTTGCCTTCTTACTATATACTGGGCAATATAACAAAATTTCATTCAGAGGTGAACTTTTACGAGTACACAATAGATAGATTATGTATAAAGAAATTGTTTAAAAATGAAGTACTGCACGTAGATTATTTTATAAAAGAACCGTGGTACGCGGTACGTGGTAGAGCCACGCTACAGCTATACGAGTATTATAGTTTTAACACGAATGGGTCGGCTTGACCGGGACAGGACCACACTCTTACAGAATACCAGCGTAAAATAGCAGCGTAATGCTGCTGTGTTTCGTATGGTGAATGTAGAGAACCGGTGATCCTTTTTACTAGATACGAGGCATTCCATCTTAATCCCCATAGTTTATACGCATTTGCATTTTGATTCTTAGTTGAAGATAAATGTGGATGTCAATGGGTCACAGAATTCACTTACCATCAGGTGGACTGTGTGCTCGTTTCTCACCACTTTACCAACGCAGAGCCTACAAGCTTCAAGACAATTGCATATTACCTACCTAATTTTCAGCACGTACACGATACAAAATAATCGTTTATATTCAAAGAATATATTTCAGGAAATAGAAATGATATCAGCGCAGCGACATCACTATTTTTAGCACCTACACCAATGGTTCGTTACTGGTGGTCAGTGTGTCACTGGTGATCCCTGCAGACGACACCCAAAGTGGTACCCGAAGGCATCATACATTTCTCTCTTCTGGTCGGTTTGTGAATACTATCTTGACTGCATTGATTTTATATCGAAATAAAGGGTCCCACGATGATGTTACACATTCATTTTAGTGTGTTTTATAATATACAGTACAAACTTAAAAAATGTCAACCTTACCTTAATTTATATTATGCCTAAAGTTGGTGGTCCATAGCAAGCCAAAAATTAGTCAAATTGTCCCGTATCACTAAACGGTTAAGAACCGCTAACCTAGGAGGATACGCTACTGAGTAAGACAAAAATAAAGGTAAAGATCTTCAAACGGCACCATAACAAAACTTTTAGAATAAGACTAACGAACGCACGTCGATGTAAATTACAAAATAATTCAAGTGAGAACGAAGAACAATGATTCATTAATTATAAGAAAAACAAAAATGAAGGCTGCAGTTTACAGTAGGTAATTACTCTATACCTACATTTTAGTGCAAAATTTCCAGAGTTATGAAAGAAGTATTTCGTCGTATTATATAACGACATGAGAATGAATAGGTAATTGTATCTTTTCGGAATTTAACTATATATGGAGAGCTTGAACGATGGATAGTAATGATATGGTACTCACATATCATTTCATACATAATGCGCCTAGAGCGGTATAGTCATTGAACCACTACAATGATTTTGACACAAATATAAACGATTATTTTACTTAACTTCAGGGACTATATTTTCACGCAAATAGGTTTTGTTAACAATTTACAAATGACATTTCCATTTCAAGCAAAATGATATTAGTTTATTTTTCACAAAGCAGTTTTGGACGTTCTCCAAACAATTAAGAATCTGAAGTTACCCAATATTTGTCTTAAAGTAAACACTATGACGGATCAAGGTTTAGTAACTACTACAAATCTTTAAGAATTATCTCAGTGATCAAAGTATGTCCGCAAATTTCATTTCAAAAAATAATGAAATGAAATTTGCGGACATACTTTTGATATTAAGACTCTCCTGTCATCATTTTTAACAAATTAATTTGCAGAACAAACTAGAAATTATTTTGCAGGACAAACTAGCTATACAGGACCTGTCGTTTTTTTTACAATTTAGGTACAAGTGAGTTTGTGATACACGGTGGTCTTTAAGAAAGGAGAAGGCTCTTTTTTGACGGTTCTCAAGTTCGTCAATCCGAAACGACCGCATGTTGAAGAAAATTCTTAGTAAATTAAACAAAGTTGGGCGACGCCTCACTGCAGTGATGACTTTAAGTCATTGAGCTGATGTAATATGGAGATGAGATAGGGAGTCGATGGATGCAGGTGGCTCAGAACCGTGCTTTGTAGCAATATATGGGGAGGACCATGTTCATCAGTAGACTTGTGTGTAGTTGTATCTAATGATAATGATGATAGATAGTGGAAGAATGTCTTTCATCAAGATAGTGTGGATGAAATTTTGAATCGATTCGCAACACACTATGGTGGAACATGGGGACCGATTCAATCCGAACAAATCGTCGACAGCGCTACCTGTGGCAAATGTAATAGAAAATAGACAATATCTTTTCGCAAGGGCAGAAGGTCATTTATTCTAAAGGGATTTGTTTTAAATATAATGCTTGTCCTAGTAAAATAAAGCCAATTAAAATTCTTTGCATTTATAAGCTCCGGTGCCTTTCAACGATATCTCTAAGGTCGAATGGTGATAGCGTCACGTAAAATTTCTGTTGTAATGGTATTAGTACAACATGAACTTACAACTTATTACCAGTATATCTTTAAATTTTTAACTATCATATTAAATTTAAAACCACGTTATTTATACGTGGTAGAGCCATGTTGCAGCTGTATTATAGTTGTGACACGAATGGTTCGGCTCGACAGAGGAAGGACCACACTTTAACAGAATACCAGCGTAAAATAGCAGCTAAAGGCTGCTGTTTTTCGTATGGTGAGTGTAAAGAACTGGAGACCCTTTTTAACTAGAATCGAGGCAATCCATTTTAGTCCTCACGGGTGAGAACGTATCAGCATTTTGATTCGTAATCGAGGATAGATGTACATGTTTATGGGCCACGGCAACCGCTTATCATCAAGTGGACTGTATGCTCGTTTGTCACCCTGGTCCCATAAAAAAAAACAGATATTGCATCTGGACAAACATTGAGTCCCGAATCAATTATTTAACGAACACTTTCTTTGTGCAGAATTCAAATGGTTAACCACCGCGTCATCGAGTCGGCAAATATTGATACTAATAGAAGCCATCATCAATCGGTCACTACTAAACATATTAAGTCTATATCAAATTGGGTAGCATACTTGACATTAATAGTCTCACAGTTAAGCGAAAGCATTGTGTGTATTTTATACCTTAAGTCGCCTTCCCTAAATCCGTACGACTTTTACGATACCTGCGAAACGAATCATAATGAAACCGTAAGGCTTATCGAAGTACTCGTTGCCACTACAGGCGTTTTACAACAGAATAAAGTAGATAAACAAATATATTCTGCGTTAGCATTATAAAAACCCAACAGAAACTACATTCTACAAAGCTACTGGAAGGTAAATTAATATCCTACTCAAAATAAAAACGAAGCAAGGTGCGATGACTTGTTGAATTAGAATTCTAACTTTACATTTGCATCCAAAGATGGAGGTGTCGAGGCAGGAAGTATTTGCATGTACTCGTAAGTCACAATAATCATTTAAACAATACAATGATGTCCACTACATAACTGTAGCGATGGATGGACAATGGTATATTAGAATAACTACACACCAATGAATAAAATCAAGAACTGAATTCGGTCCACTGTGGACATAACATTGAAGTCATCGAGTAGCGAATGTAATTTATTATTGTCTTGGCAAATAACAGTTATTCGATAATAAAATTCCGCGCTGTATTTTCACGATATTGCACATAGCATACATAATTTATTACAAGTTTTAAAACATACCCAAGTAAGGAATTTAGAATCGATGTTAAAGTTTTGGCTTCGTGCCATTGAAAAGCTATGCAGCTTTCTGTTTTATAGATCTATAAACAAGGTCAGCAAGAACTTTTAAATATATCAGAAAAAGCTTGAAGTGGAAAGAGTTGTTCGACAAAAATATTTCTTAGGTAATATTTATGCGTGCCATTAAAGAATAGAATCATAAACGGCGGAAAGTACTTATTGAGGAAATAATGTTCTCCAGACCAAATTTTGGTCACAGCGGCTAGTCTCAGCAATGGAGCCAGCAATGGAGACTAGCCATCAGCGCGGGACAGGACTTTAGTGCAAGAGTGTGTGCGCAAGCGCATAAGCACTCTATTTCCTCTCACAGTCCGATGCGAAGGCAATCCGACACGACCGGATAGAGATCAGGCTGATGACCAACAGCTTTACGAGATTAATAACAACAATAAAAACAAATAATAATATTAACAAATTGTAAAAATGCTACTCTGATCTGATAGTGATCGCCCGATCAATTAAAAATACGACCATTCAAACCAACTAAGTTCTCGAATCAGTTTTTCCAGGGTGAAACAGGGATGCAAATAATGTGCGAGAGAGTTGGCACGAGTTCGGCGGACTTTCGTGATTCTTTATTGGCACACATCGCATAATTTTTTAACACTAAGGAATCGATGATGGAGTCTTGATAACACTAATTATAAAGGCAACAAATAGAAATCTAAAATAAAAATTATATTCATTACCAACAACAATGGCTTATGAAATCAAGACAAAAACATTGTTTATCGCAGTGGCAGGACTTACCAAATCACTATCTTTAGATCCTGTTACATCATCCAGTGGGTTTCCATTTTCGACATCAATACCAGAGTCGTTGGGGTCGCATCTCCTTCTCGCCTCGCACCTCGTTATTTCATGGAAGGTGCTCCGTAGCGTATTAAAATTGATACGCAGGTCTGTGCTAAAGTCGTCGTACAGTTTGAATTGATTCGCGTTGAACTCAGTGTCGTTGTCGAGAACTTCATTGCTATCCACCTTCGTAATTGTATTTCGATCTGACGATTTATTCCTGTACATAACTTTGTAGAAGTCCCTGGCACTCATTTTATTAACTTGCTTCGACCTTACGACTTTTGATGCACTTATGACATTGTGTTAAATGCAGAACAGTTAGAGCCTAATAGATATCACAGGTGGATAATAGGATTAAGATTGATTTATATTGTTTTTGGCCGTTGCGCCTAATGTGGCTGTGTTGGATAGTGTCGGTGGTTTTGAAATCCACTTAAATTCCTATTGTTTTATATGTTTCGTATATAAACATAATTATTGTTTTGTCGTTTCGGAAACTTGCTTTTTTCTAATGGCTATCCTTATATATGAGTAAATCTGTTTAGGAAATTAAATATTGCAATATTTTTAATAATGTAAGAATACTGAATTATCACATTAATGCAATGTAATAATCATTGATTAAATATATGATTTTTCTAGGCTTTTCTACAATTATGATTCGTAAAATATTCAAATACGGTTAATTTCTTCGTTATGTTTGACAATTAGCACTAGAGATTCCGCAGCCTAATTATAGAAACTGTGCCCCTGTGTAGCCTGCAAGGAGTTGCCAGTGGATGGGGCGCGACCCTAAGGGGCGGATAATCCGTGGGGGAACTGTATCCAAATGTAAGTAGAGTTCGTCGCGTCTTCCTCGTAATTTTGGTAGATTTAATCACTTTCGTCATATCAAATGTAATATGTTAAAATCTTCTAAAATACAACAGAAATCTCTCGTCGTTTAGTTTTTATGATACCTTTTTAGGTTAAGCTTGGCGGGGCGTGTGGCATCGCCGTCTATCATAAAATTTTAAGTAATATCAGTAATAAAGTTAAGTTAATATAGTAATATAGGTAATATAGGAATGTAAAAAGTGCGTTAAGTGTTCTATCGCATTGGGTAAAACCTGTAATGTTAGATATAAGTTGGATGTAAATAAATAAAATAAAAAATATTTTTAGGTAACTGCCACTATACTACACCACTCTAAAGGGCTCTAAATCTGTAATACAAGAACGCGTATTTGTTATGCACGTGGAACTTTCCGCCTCGTTGCACGCTAGACATTGAGTTTGTACGAGTTAAGTTTGAGGGGTTGCGGTAACTGCGATTTTTTTAACTATTCTAAGCCAACGCGTGACTATCTATCGCACCTGATGGTAACTGGTGATGCAGCCGAAGATGATAAAGCGCAGTGTTAACAAAAGCCGATTCACTCTTACCTTTAAGATGGTCCACATTGTAATGGGATGGCAAGACAGGCGCCGGCAACTTATTTCTGTACTTTGTAGTACACATGACAAACGATGAAGCAAACTGTTTGGTTTGAGTGCATGGTAAGTCGACAACGAAAGGGTGAGGCGAATTTCTCGGTGCATTAGGCAAAAAATTCGAGTGACCGCCTTTAAGGACATTGTAACCTGAGGGAAGCAGAAATAGCATACTATGCTTGTCATTATAGGTCCTCCAGACCGAACTTCGGTTACAGCGGCCAGGTTCAACGGCGACGAGCCATCGCCGCAGGGCAGGATTATAGTGCCCAAGTGTATGTGCAAGCACAGGTGCACTCTCTATTCCCTTACTCACATGGTCCAACGGAACAGTAAACCGATACAACCGGAGAGACATCAGGCACAGGACCAACGACTTTACGTGTTTTCCGAAGCACGGGGGTGAGACATCCCCAAATTCCTAACTCTGAAAAACGCAATAAGTGATATTTTTGGTTCAACCCAGGATTTGAACCCGGGACCTCATGATCAGCAGTTGCATTACTACAACCACTAGACCATCGACACAGTCATTAACGCAGCTCGGGCCACCATACTGCACGATTAAACATAGCGGGTTCACATCTTTCCTTTACACAATACTCGTCTAAAACCATATGCTGAGCTGTCTGTAAACGCAAAAGATGAAATTAGATCGTAAATCGTTCGTTGCCGTACACGAGGTATAAACAAACCGAACACATTAGTCCACACCTCCCGTGGCACGAATTAGGTCAGCAATATTCATAACAACGGATTTAGAATTGGTGAGAGCCCTCGCTTTTCTAACGCAGCGATGTAGAGATCAAGATACAAGAATCCGGAAATTTTATAGAAACAAAATATTTTGCGTTTCTTTTAAGCATATGTTGGGTTAAAAATAAACTAAGGGGCCGTCCATTAATCACGTGAGGCTCGAAAGAGGGGAGGAGGTTTGACAAAAATCACGAAATATCAAGAGGGTAAATATCTATCAGTGTATTTATTTGTTCGTCATACGCGCGATTTCTAAACCGAAAAGCGGCGTGTAATGTGGACCTTGACTCGCCTGTTTTACATGTAAATACATGTCACAAGTATGAACCTAATCCGAGCAATAAAAGTCTAGAGATGCACAATGTTCGTCCTTCACGCATCCTCACGCGACGGTCGATCGGGATCGCAACCTCATCGCGAGTTTTTCTGTGTAGTGCGCGAAAATGATGACGTCGACGTGGCTTGATGAAACCGAAGCTGATCTTCAACAAAGCTCAGTGCCAACTCCAACTGATCAAAGAAAGTCTTGCTAATCCGTGGTCTGAGGTTGGCAATGTACATTAAATATGTTCGTGTACTTATACAATACATATTTTTTGCATAATTACAACATATTTATTTAATACTTAATATTTTTATGCCAGTGAAAAACAACCTGCAACCTTTCAGTCTAGACATTTTTATCATGGTCCTTAATTTCAGAATAAAAAGATTATACCTTATAGGTACTAAAAAATACACGTAATTTTTTTGGGGGAGTCTTAACCCTCACCACGTATCACCAAGAGGGGGGGGGGGGTTAAAAATGCTTAAAAAAACATCACGAGCCCCTAACAGAGCCCAGGCTTCACACAATTGACATAGACATAGATATGCGTTTTTTACGTGATAGCCACGCTGCAGCGATATTATGGTTGTAGCACGAATGGGTTGGCTCGACCGGGGTAGGACCACGCTCTCACAAAACAACAGTGTAAATTAGCAGCTTAATACCACTGTGTTTCATATGGTGAGTTTAGAGAATTAGAAACCATTTTTACTGGAAACGAGGCATTCCACCTCAGTCCTTAGGGTTGACAACGCATTTGCATTTTGATTCTTAATCGAAGATAAATGTAGATCTCTATGAGCCACAGCGTCCACTTACCATCAGGTGGACTATGTGCTCGTTTTGTCACCCCCATTTTATAAAAAAAGTTTGTCAAATCTATTTCTACTGTACCATTGTCGTAATCGAGAAAAGAAAATATAGATAAAATTGTATCTGTTATCTTTAGATACTCGGTTGGTTTAAATAACTTTAACATTGAGTCTGTTTAACAATTGGGTTACCAGTACAAGGTTATGTAAAAATGTATATACATGTGTTTTATAGATTAAACAAAGAAAAATATACAACTCGGCGTCAAAAATCGGACGGGATCCCACAATATTTATGAAACTGTAAGCAGGCCTCGATATTATTCAAAAGTCATCGCCTTGTAAGAAATTTTCCACGAATATATTACATATTCATAAAGCCTATTCACACTAGTTCTGTTCGCACTTGAAATTGTAAATGAAAATTTCAAGAGCGGGTTTACTACACATTCGGTGGTGAATAAAATCATTGTGACCCGCAACGTTTAAGAAAGAAAATATACTTTGAAGATATTTTGAAGGCCATTAAAACGTACTGGAGCAGCGAGTCTGACTCTTCCTACTCTATTATTCCCTAAACAAGAAGAAAGAATAAGCTGAAAAGTAGGAAATTATGACGCTATTACTTTACTTTTTCCTATAGGACTATGTGAGTTTAAAATTGTACCATATATTTGATCAGTGATATAATCGCTTTAAAAACAAAAGAAAAACTTTAAAATTTATAACTGCCTTAGAATTTCTTGATACACTAATTAAAAATTATTCAAAATTAATCAGCAATTGACCCCAACAGGAACTATAACTCTCAGAAGCAGATGAGTGTCGCATTCTTAAAATAAGATGTTTGTTAATTTAACCAAAGTTACGGTTCTATTTATTGCCGACGTTTGAATATAGCTCCGGGATGTTTGGTGATACTCCGTGGAGGCTGGCACCGTGCCCGATCCTGACGAATAAGCTCAATGTAGATCTTTTACTAATAGACATGAAGCAATGAAGCTGCGGAGTACGATTCAAGCTCGCTGTTTATGAATGGATGGAGTAAATGTGTATTTTGTAAACAAAGAAAATTATTTCATTATTGTACGGTTATGTGTTTCAAGGTTTCTATGATATATTTCATTTTCTATACGCTTATGTAACGATGATGTAGGTAATAGAAATAAAAATGATGGTATTTTGAAAAAATGTCAGAAACTAATTTACTTAAAATTTGTATTAAATTTTTGTAAGGTATGTATAGGATTACGAATGAGTTTTGTCTAGACTTATTTAATTTGTGTTCAATAAAAATCCAAAAATGTTTGGATATGATTTAAGATAGAGAGGTGTAAAAAAAATATTTTAAGTAATTTTTCTGATTGTCAAAAAGCCGTTGACGCATCAAGGGATGTTGTATTATTTGTGTTTGTGACGTTTGCTACTTAATCACACATAAAGGGCTAAACGGAATCGGACGGACCAGACCAATACCGCTACTGCCAATAATATGTTTCCCCCATTAATATGTCACAGTTGCCACGCTTGGCAAGCAGTTTCGCTTAGCTTCTTACGACAATGTTACCAACATAAAACTCATGAAAGCCATCGTTTGTTGATTGTGAGTATATATCATATTGCAACCTCTTTTTACGAGATGTATTGTAGAATTTAATCTTTTAGCGTACTTTGCTGTTTAAAAGATATGGTAGTTTACAAAATTAATTTTTACTGTCATAGGAAACTCTATGAGTATTGTAGGTACTAGGTGGTAGCTGCCATCCTTCAACGTATTTCTGCCGTCAAACAGCGACGCGTGTGCTCTGTCTGATCTGAGGGGTATAGAGAGCCATAATAGTGATAGGCTGTGAGGC